CAAGAACTTTAGTCTTAGAAACTATAGTTTTGTGTAGCAGCATTTTTTGTGGGAAGGGGAGATATTTTAACAAAATCTTAGGGAGTCTTTTAGGCTTCCAATTGAAAAGTCTCAAGCAAACATATAGAGTCTAGACCCCCTGATCATCGCTAATCTATAGCCTCTATAATAACTCCAACTGATCAATACGGCCTCAGAGACATGCAAGTGTCACCAATGGGCGTTCAGCCACGACTTGGAATATCCGTTCTCTGGAGAATATAAAAGCCTAGAAGAATTCCAAAGAATTCCAAAGTGCCTACGAAATGCCAGTTTTTGGTTTGAAATTGTTTATTCTGGCGGTGAGTGTTGTTGGCCTAACATGGCGGGCGAAGCTTCTTGCGAATTGGGGCGGCACAGATTTTGGGAATTATCTGACCGCTTCTGGCGAATCCGTAAAGTATCCACAAAATACACACAGACGTATACACAAACACAGATACAGATACAGGTATATGCGGGTCCAAAGCCGGCTATAAATTAGTGGCCAGACTCGATTTGGGACATCAGTTGAGTTTCGCTTAGGGTTCAGGTAGCATCATTACCACTGCCATTATCACCATGAAGCTGTACGTTTGCGTGGCCTTTGTTGCCCTTATGGCCCTCTCGGCCCCGGCCCCATCGGAGGCCCTGTTGGGCGCCAAGCTCGCCCTTCTCAAGGCCATTGGCGGCGGCCTGGGCGGCGGCTCCGGTTCCGGTGGATACGGCAGCTCCGGCTCCGGCTACGGCAGCGGCGGCTACTCCGGCGGCTACAATCAAGGATACTACAGCCAGCCCAGCCGCCCGGTCTATAACTCCGGCTACGGCAGCTCCTCCTCCAGCTCGTCCTCCAGCTCCTACGGCGGCGGTTATGGCGGCGGCTACGGAGCAGGCGAGCAGGTCATCAAGGTCATCAAGGTGATCGAGCATCCCTCGTACCGCTCCTCCGGCTATGGCGGCGGCTACGGCGGCAGCTACTCCTCGTCCAGTGCCAGTGCCTCTTCCAGCGCCAGCTCCTCTGGATACTCTGCACCCGCTGTGTCTTACTCCGCTCCAGCTCCTGCTCCTGCCGTGACCTACTCGGCTCCTGCCCCGGCTGTGACTTACTCCGCTCCAGCTCCCGCTGTGACCTACTCCGCTCCAGCTCCTGCTGTGACTTACTCTGCTCCTGCCCCGGCAGTGACTTACTCTGCTCCAGCTCCCGCTCCTGCAGTCACCTACTCCGCTCCCGCTCCTGCCGTCACCTACTCGGCTCCTGCCCCTGCTCCCGCCGTGACCTACACCGCTCCCGCTCTGGCTCCAGTTTCCGTGGTCCGCTACAGCGCTCCCGCTCCTGCCCACGCCCCAGTGGTGCGTTACACCGCTCCTGCTCCCGCTCCCGTGCTGCGTTACATCGCTCCTGCTCCGGCCCCAGTTGCCATCCCCGCCACCGTGGTCATATCCGCGCCTGCCCCCGCCCCCGTGGTGATCCCCGCACCCGCTCCCGTGGTGGCCCCCGCCCCCATCAACTACGCCCCCCAGAGCCAGCAGGTGGTGAAGACCATCAAGCTGATCGTGGACGAGGACCACGCCCCCGCCCCAGTCTACGGGCCCCCAGCTTCAGTGGCCACCGGCTACTCCAGCAGCGCCTCGGCTAGCAGCTCTGCCAGCTCCAGCGGTGACTACAGCACCGGATACAACGGAGGCTACAACGGAGGTTACAACGGCGGCTACAACGGAGGCTACAGTGGCGGAAATTCCGGACTGGGCTTCGGTGCCGGCTGGAAGCGCGGCGGCATATTCGAGAAGCTGGTGGGCTGCTAGATCGGAACATCCCAGAATATAGTCACCAAAAAAAAAAACACCAATAAGAACCACAACCTCAAGCGTAACCATAAACGTACTCAACTATTTTTTTTCTAGTTCTAATTCTAAAAACGAATAATCGTAATTTTTATACCCTTGCAGAGGGTATTATAATTTTGTCCAAAAGTGTGCAACGCAGTGAAGGAGACATCTCCGACCCTATAAAGTATATATATTCTTGATCAGGATCACCTCCTGAGTTGATATGAGCATGTCCGTCTGTCCGTCTGTCCGTCTGTCCGTCTGTCTGTCCGTCTGTCTGTTTCTACGCGAACTAGTCTCTCAGTTTTTAAGCTATCGACTTGAAACTTTGCACACACCCTTCTTTCCTTTGCACGCAGTATATAAGTCGGAACGACCCAGATCGGCCGACTATATCTTATAGCTGCCATATAACTGATTGATCGGAAATGGTATAACTTTGGTGTTTTTAGAGTTAGAGAGTTCAAATTTGACACGAGAGCTATTTTTGGCAAAACATTACGACATGCCAAATTTCATAAGGATCGGCTGACTATATCCTGTAGCTGCCATATAACTGAACGATCGGAAATGACCCAACTTTCGTGTTTTTGAAGATAGAAAGCTGAAACTTAGTACAGATTTTATTTTTGGTCAGTTGATCCAACCTACCAAATTTCATTAGGATCGGCCGACTATATCCTATATCTGCAATATATCTGAACGATCGGAAATGGTACTTGGTAGAAATATCCACTTTCGTATTTTTGAAGATAGAAGCTTGGGACTTTCTTTTAGATTTTTTATTGTAATTAATTGGTTTTATTATGACGTAATCATAAGGATCCGCCAACTATATCCGATGTTTGCGATATATATCCGGTTTTAGCTGCAAGGGTATACCAACTTCGGCTCCGCCCGAAGTTAGCTTTCCTTTCTTGTTTTTACTTAAAAGTATAGATGTTAGGGTGTGGAATGGATATTGCTTTGGGGGTGAAAGATCTGGGGACCTGAACTTGCTTTTTTCATATTACGTATACGCCGGGTGCGCCCGAGAAGTTTCTATTGCTGGGCAAAATGCACAATCAAGCGAAATTCCAGGCCCAGGGAGGAGTGCCTGTCCACTGATAATGATCACTGGAGAGGTTGATAAGAGAGGGTTAAGGACAAGGCGAGGGCATCAGGTGCACTAAGTGGGGCTAAGTGGGGTGATCCCCAGTGGACAAAGATTAAAGGAATCGAGCTCATGTGAGCTCATTCGAATCTGATTAATACCCAGAGCAGGGTATCTCCCATTTGGAATTCCCCTCACCACAGACAGTCGAAATTGCGGTTGGCATTTCTAAATTGAAAATTTGCATTCGAAATATTTAAATTGGGGCTTTCAAGCCCCCTTCCCCTTTCCCTCGCCAGACTGGGGCAGTAAAACGTGATCGAGTCGTGCCGGAGATTGCATTATTTTCCGGTCCAATCCGGTGCCTTTCTAATACAGTTTTCCATCGAAATGGATGTTTTGTTTGAGTGTACAAATGACACGACCACTGCCTTAGCCCCCAAGCCCACATGCCCCCTGCTGCCCCCCCTCACACACATTTACGATCAATGGCTCAATCAAGCCTTTTGTCTGTCTGTCCGACTGGCCCGGTCCGCACTTGTAATTCAAATGCGTCAAACGAATACTGCAAATGATTCAATTTAAAATGGACTACAAAGCGGCGGGAAGGAAGGTGGAGTACAGACAATGGAGATACCCTCTGGATAGTCATCAGAAAATAAGATGATAGAGTATAGAACTTGTAGTTACCCTCTAAATACAAGTAGAGACGGGGTTAAAGATCTTTCTCTTAGGAAACTGACTAAAACGTGGAATAATAAGCTCTTTTATGAAAAAATAAAGATGGTAGATAACAGACCAAGAATATACCCTCCAAATACAAGCAGAGACCAAGTTTAAGATCATTCTACTGACTAATATTAAAATTACCAAGTTATAATCTAACTAAAATATAGTATTGCTCGCTCTATCATCCAACGAAAGAGAAAATAGAGTACAGACCCTATAGACACCCTCCAAATACAAGCAGAGACCAAGTTTAAGATCATTCTACAGACTTATATGAAAAATACCAAGTTCTAAGTCCAAGTTCTGAGCTCTATCATTCAACAAAAGAGCAAATAAAGTACAGACCCTATAGACACCCTCCAAATACAAGCAGAGACCAAGTTTAAGATCATTCTACAGACTTATATGAAAAATACCAAGTTATAATCTAACTAAAATATAGTATTGCTCGCTCTATCATCAAACAAAAGAGCAAATAAAGTACAGACCCTATAGACACCCTCCAAATACAAGCAGAGACCAAGTTTAAGATCATTCTACAGACTTATATGAAAAATACCAAGTTCTAAGTCCAAGTTCTGAGCTCTAGCGTCTAAAAAAAGAGCAAATAAAGTACAGACCCTATAGACACCCTCCAAATACAAGCAGGGACCAAGTTTCATATGATTTCAGCTCCAAAAAATATCCCCTAACTATCGTTACAGGGTATCGCCTGGCGTAATAATATAAATAACAAAAATTAAGCTTTCTGACTGATTGTCATTGTCACTGATGATGCATAATTTCAGACTGAAATTTCGTAAACAAATAGCCCTTGTCGGGAATAAATATGTATGTAGACCTCCCCCCAAATCATTATCCCCCCCCAAAGAACACACACATTCCAGAACTCGTATCTGTTTCTCATCAGCGGTTTTTTGTTTTATTTTTTTTTTAGTTTCCATATCTGCATCTCGATAAACAATCCATTCATCTTCAGATTCCAAGCCTTGTGGTTTATTTCTGTTTAGATTTTAGTTTTTTTTTTTTTTGATAACTAGACTTGGTGTAACAGGGGTTATGTTCTTTATCTTACAAATCGTTTTTTTTTTTGTTGAAAAATAGAAACACTTGTTTTTTAGCTTTGGATTTTTCTTAAATATTCTCCATTAATGTCTGATCGCCTCGTGACTCCACTGAAAAAAAAAACACACATCATGTCTTTGTTGTTGCCTGAGAATGCTGACCAGCAGCACTTAGAAAAAACCAAAAATAGATGAAACAAAAATATAAAACTTTTATGAATTAAGAACAAATTTTATTTGCTTTTCATTTTCGCATATTTTTTTTTGCCTTTTGCCTTTTCGCTTTCGCTTTCTCGCATTTCTCTTCGGCGATAGTTGTTTTAGTTGTTGTTGTTGTTGTTGTGGGTAAATAATAATTAAATATAATTAAGGGATGGGGGGGGTTGGTGGTTGGGGTGGTATATAGTATTGCGGGCTTCCACGACAACATTTAGAAACTAAGATATGAACTAAACACTAAACTAGGTCAAAAAATGTACAATTACATAAATAATCGGCTCACAACAGTGCATCCATCCATTCTACTATAGTGTCTACTATATCCGAGGAAAAAAAAAAAAAAAGCACACACCTTCTGCCTTCCTTATATGTTTAGTTTTTTAAACAACAAACAAATTCACTAAACAAAGACAGTACAAAGCAAGTAGATTACAAAAAAAAAGTCAGTAATATATATAGTGGCTAATGTATATCATATTTTATATATATATATATAGATATAGATATATATATATATATATATGTAAATATATATATGTATGCAAGTATTATCATATAACGCTTCGTAATAGGTTCTATATAAACATTTACAATTACAGAAAGGACACCATCTAGCGCCGTAGGGTTCCTCGTAGGGTTCATCTTCGCCTAGTATTTCCTATCTCTCTCTCTCTCGCTCGGTCTGTCTGTCCTGCTCTTCTTCCTTTTAGCGGCTTTTTTTTCAAGTATTTTCATATTTTTTTATAATTTTCTTTTTTTTCCATTAACAATGTGCGATTTTGTCGGTTGTCCTGCAGGATATGCTAGAATGCTTGTAGCACGATAGTATAACAATTTCTCTCTCTCTCTCTCGCTCTATTTCTCTTTCTCTTTCTGTGGGCTAGGGCTAGGGCGGGGGGATGGGAGGGGAGGTCTGTCACCAAAATTTCGAAATCGAAATCGAAAAGAAATTCGTTTCACAAAATTGTACTATAATAGTGGTTTTTTTTTTTGTGTATTATTACTTTATCGGTTTTGTTTTTATATATATATATGTAGGTGTATATAATAGCATAACAAATGTTTAACAAAAATCGAAAATCGATCCATATAATCATTAAGCATTACCATTCTTTTTAAGTTTTTTTTTTATGTTTTAACTAGGAGAGAAAGAGATAGAATGCAACAAATCTTCTGTCTCTTAGTGGGATTACTTTTTTGTATTTTTTTTTTTTTGCTTTTCTTTCTGAATGTTTTTTTTTTTTTCTTTAAAAACTTTGTTTTCTCTTTCGTTTTTTTTTTTTGCCTAATTAAAATACTAAAGCAGCTCATCGCCAGGTGGCGTTGTTTCTGTGGGCATGGCTGGCGCCCCCTGGCGACAGCCAACGAAGGAACCTACACAGTGGGGCCTCGCTAACTCTCCAATAGCTCCGAAAAGGTCTCTCTCTCTCTCTCTGTCCCCCGACGTTGATCCGACGCATTGGGAGTCCCTCGAAGAGGACCATCTGGTCGGGGAGGTTGTTCTGTGAGGATAATGTATGGAGCTGGTCTGGCTGATCTGGCTGGTCTGGCTGGTCTCTTCATCTGGCAGCTGGTTTTTGTCTTTGTCTTTCTGGTGTGGGCGCTTTGGCGAGTTAGCGAGGCCTGACTGTAATTACGCATACGCCGTGGTGGCCGTGGCCGTGTACTAGGTGTTCTCCGGTTTCCGCCGCCTGGCCTTCCGCTCGCAGGACTTGAACGGCGACAGATGATCCTACTTCTTGGGCGAGAGCATGTCCTCGCGACAGGCGACCGCCGCCACCAGCGCCGCACCGCGTCCAGATCCATCCTCCGATAGCATCAGATCGAATGTGATGCCCGGCTTGATCAGCTTCGAGATCTTCTCCACCATCAGGTTGTGGAACTTGGGATGGAACCGATACACACTGCCATCGACGCCGACGGTCACGTGCGGTTCGTCCATCTTGTTGATCAGAGTGGCGATGCCGGCGGACACCAAGTGGGCGGCCCGCTTCGAGACGCACTCGCAAATGTAGCGAACGTTGGCGCAATCGCCGTCGGTGGCGTTGGTCAGGCCGAGCTCCTCCAGGACCAGCCGGCAGTTGGTGAAGGTGCCGGGCTCGTCGGCCTCGATCTCGCTCACGTACTTGGTGAAGAAGAGGCCGCGCGTATTGAGCACCTCCGAGTCCTGGCCGTTGAACAGTATGCCCGCATGGGTCATCTTGACGAGAACGAGGCGGACCAGCTCGCCCATGTACATGCCGGAGATCATCTTCTCGAAGGTCTGCTTGCCGGGATTGATGCTGTGGACGTCGATGTCGCGATCGAACTCGGTACGGACAAAGTCGAGGGCACCGTTGTCGCCGAAAGCGCCCCACTCGGTGTTGATCAGGACATGGGGCTTCTTGTTGTCCGCCTCGACATCGAAGAGCTCCGCCTCCTCGACCCGTTCCATGTAGCAGGCATTGGCGCCGGTGCCGACAATGAGACCGATCTTGCAGTTGTGATTCTTCCAGGCGCAGCTCATCAGGGTGCCGGTGGTGTCGTTCAGGATGGCGCACACATCGATCTGGACATCGCCGCGCCGGGCGATGGCGTCCTTCAGCAGCTGGACCACATCCTCGTTGACGACACCGGCGCAATTGAAGCCCTTCGTCCAGGTCTCCAGCAGGCCCTTGGTGAGGCCCAGCTGACGCAGCGGGAACGAGAAGGTGAAACCCAGTGGCAGACGCTCCTGGTAGACATTGTGCTCCGCCATAAAGTTGGACAGGCACTCGGCTATGTGATCGAACAGCTGGGTGCCCGAACCGATCATGATGTGCTGGGGTATGGCATAGATGCGGGACTCCATCTGGAAGTCGTTGTTCTCCTGCAGGTGGATCAACAGCACCCGGAAGTTGGTGCCGCCGAGGTCGAGGGCGAGGAACTTGCCGCGCTCATTGCCATTGGGCAGATCCTGTACATACGTAACGAAGCACTTGACATTGGCCTTCGGGTGCGTGTCCTTGGCGAGGCCCCGGCGCAGTTCGTGCAGGATGCGATAGCACAGCTCCTGCACCTGTTCGTCCGTTAGCAGCAGCTGCTGACATAACTCGTGCACCATTTTCTTTTTCTCTGATGCGCTAGCGGCCGCAAAACGGTTCGCCTCCAACGCTATCGCTGCATTTGTGGCCGCTGTTGCATTTGCGTTCACCGCTGCCGTTGAGCTGCATTTTGTGGTTGTTTGTGATGCTGTCGCTGCCGCTGCCGACGTCGCAGTTGCTGTTGCCACTCCCCCCGATACACCCACTCGATCCGTTTCGTCGCGACTATGGCCGTTCAGCTGTGCGGTACCGTTGCTATTTATAGACACACTCCTCATAGCGCCGTTCAGCTCCCGATCCATGCTTCTTGCCTTTTTACCTCTCGAGGATTGCACTCACACGGGAAAAAAAAAATAAATAGAATAAAACTAGTAATGCACTCGCGATTTTTTTTGTTTTTTTCACGCTTTTCCTTCTTTCTTCGTTCTCGCCTTGATCTGCTTTCTATCTTCTGAATGTTTCTATTTTTTTTTCTATTTCTTTTTCAGATATTTTGCCTTGCGCCTTTAGCCTTCTTCCGCTTTTTTTTCTCAGCTCAGTGCTCGCTCTCTCCGGTTATTTTTACTTGGTCCGCACGCGTCCGTTGCCGTGAAATGTTTTTTATGGAATTAAATCCACTCGCTGCGAGCTGCTCGCTTTACGCTGTCGCTGCGAGCGCCGCCGCCGCCGCCGCCGCAGCCACTGCCGCAGTCGACGTCAGCGTCGGCGGCGTCACTGGTTGGCTGCTGGCTCTGTGGCGCTCCCGCTCTCTATTTGGCGCGTGAAGGAACCTTGAAGGTCAAAAACTGAAAATTAGTATGGGGCGGCTAGTTATGGGAGATATGGCGCAGTCGGCATAGGCGAAACCGCATACGCCTCTGGGGCCCAGCGCCCCCCCGCCGGATAAAGAAAGAGAGAGCCAGAGTGTGCGCCGTGGCGCTTTGCCGTCCGAATGAGTCAACGGAATGGGTTTATGCGGAGACCTCCGATCGCACAGAATATCAAGAAGTTCATTAAAGATTTTTATTAATTTATTAATATTTTATCTAAATTTTAACACATATGAGTCTTTTTGGAATAAAATCATTATTAAAAGTATAGATATCATCATTACTGTCCTACATGAACGCCAGGCCCCAAAAGGGCTCTCTGCGCTCAAGAGAGTCCATATTTGCTTTCGTCAGCAATATGATACCCTGGCTCCAGCAGGGTTGTTACGCACTAGGAGTTAGTGTGTTTCTAAAATTCTAAAATAAACCATAGCCATGTTTAAATGAACTTGAAGAATATTAAAAAATAAAACAATACTGGAACTTGTCTATTCTTGCAAATAAACTTTTCCAGGATATCAAGTAGTCGCCATGTTGTACTCCCGTTATACTGGCTGCGTGTTGGGCTCGTTCCTTGAACTCCCTGCCATAAGTGGTAGTATAACAGTTCCAGGTGGAGAGCAGTCTGAGAGAGAACGAGTTTGGGTTAACCTAACAGTTGTCAGCCGTCCACTCCACCCCCCCGTCCCAACACCCTTTTGGAGCTTGTGAGTACGTGCTCGAAGCTCCTCTCCCTCGCCTGGCATGCGCTCTCTTTCAATGGAATTCTGTTTTTTTTGGGTCTTATTGGCTTTTATTTAACATTTTTCCTTTTGATTTCGTGTGCAATTTCATTCAGATGCTGCACTTTTGCATTAGACTGCAGGTGGGCCCACTGACGCCTGCATTTGGGGGGCTTTTTGCGCTGTTCCACTATTTTTCCAAAGAGGCTCGTCCACAATGGCGTTCAGACAACTAAATGTAGGTACGTACGTGTGTGTGTGTGTGTGCTTGCAAACGTGTGTGCTGGCATGTGGCCCCCAATGTGTTATACAAGACCCGACGTGCGACAATCGAGGGCGCAGGAACAAGACCTTTTGCTCACAAATAGTTCCATCTTGCTCTCCTCCTTAGCCCGGTAGATATTGCTAACTAGTTGACCTCTGCTGTTTACAGTTGTATACATAGGCCCATTCACTCTCAGCCGCCACACCGCCACACACGCCCCCTGGCCGACTGACTAAGAGAGTGACTGGGGGAGAGTGAGCGTGAGTTCGATGACGTCTGTGGGGCCAAAGCAACAACTACAACTATGACTACGACTACTCCCTCTCTCCAGTGCCACCAGCCTCCCACTCCCCTCTAGGCCCACTCTCTGACTGCCGTTGCACGTGTCTTGCGAAACGATTTCGCCACAAAAACAACAACAAAAACGTTAGTTGTTTACGCCACGCCACTTGGCCGTAAAGTTGCCAAAAATAAAGCTCAGAAGCCTCAAAGTGCAAAGTGCATTAAAAATTTAGTAAAGTGCTTAAAAACACTTGTTTTTTTTTTTTTAAGAGGGCTGGAAAGGGGGAGCGTCTCCACTTGTGAGTACGTAGGTGTGTCACCGAGTGCTTGACTGTCTCGTGTGTGTGGGTGTGTGTGTGTTTCAAATGATTAATTGCTTATCTGGGTGGGTTACACGTTCCGTTGCTCAGGAACACACAGCGTAGATACGAAAACAGAAAACTGAACTAACTGTTAAAAAACAAGAGAGAGCGTGTGGAATACCCTATTAGATAGAAGGTATCTCACATTCATAATACACCAATTATGAAATAAAATAAAACCCATAATATAACCATAATGGCTATCGTTTTGGAGCCTATACTTCGGACTCTGGAAGCAATCCGGAAGTGGCTACTTGAAATGCATATCGAAGCCATAACACCCCCCCTATTTCTAGGTCACAACAACAACAACAACAATACAACAATAATTATAACAATGGCAACTGAGGAGTGGCTCTTATCGGCAGTCGCGGAAATTAGTCTTTGTTTTTTTTTTGCGAAAAGGGGGCCCGGAGGGGGTGTGGCAAGCGATTCCATCGACTAGGTCAGCACTAGGACGCCGCTATAACGGTTCTGACTCGAAAATCGATCTAGAAAGTGTCAAGAAATGGAATACTCATGTTTGATTCTTCTTCTTGTATCTATCGCATGTTTGAGGAGCGATAAGAGAGGAGGACGTGCACTGACATGATGAGTCAGCTGCTCTGATGAGGCGCAAACACAGTTATGGAAATAATCTAATAAGAATCCTTTATGGGCATCTATTAATACATAATGAAAGCTAATTGCATCAGTTCTGAGAACTTTACAGTCACTGCGATAAAAAACAAAAAAAAAGTTCAACTGGTTCTGGAGTCCCCCCCCCCAATGCGTCCCTCGCCTCCCTGACCAACCACGCCTTGAAATTCCAACGATTTCGTCAGCTTTTCAGAAACTGTTCTACATGTCCTGTGGCCGTTTCCTGTGTCACCTTCAACCGGCGTAGGCGTTAGCGTAGACGCTGACGCCGATGCCGATGCCAGCGCCCACGTCGACCGACGTCTCGGCCGCTGTCGACGTTGCGGTTGTGCGGCGTATTTTAGTCCGCTTTTGGGAATCCAGTTTTGGGGGCTCGCCCCATGCACACACACACATACGCAAGCTCTGTTCGTGTCCGTACACGTCGCTAGCGAACATGTGTGGGTGTCGGTGCCTGTGCGCCTGCCCGTACGACCGGAGGGGTATATACAAAATAATTGATTTTTACAGCACTATATCGGGCGATATTACGCTGTGACGTCAATCATGATGACGTCGCCCAGCCAGCCCCTTGTGAAACTCACTCTCATCACACTCTACCTATCCCGTTCGCCTGTGAGACCCTGTCGTGCCGTCTCTTTCTCGGTTGGCTGAGGGGTCAATGCAGCCAAACGACGACACCGCGTGGAAAATTTGTGAAAATCCAACCACACGCCCCCCAAAATCTCGCCGGCCTTCATCCATACACAATAGTCATTAATTATAATACGTTTTTTTTTTTTGGCAACGTAAATAACTTCACGTGACGGGCCTGCCAAAATGCGGAAAATTCGAAATACGAGAGACATAAAAAAAACAGGGCAAGAGATAAAAAAAAAAAGACCACGGGGTCCATCCGATTCATAGAAAATATATACCCTGAGAATACAGGAAAATACATACATATAAAAGATAATATAAAATAATATTTACTGACGGATAGAAATATCCGTATGATGGCAAGACCCCCAAAACAAATAAATTTATAAAAAATGGAATGTATAAAAAATCAGAAAACTTTTAATATATGTGAATAAGAAGAAGAAGAAGTCCATTAATAAACGTAGAGTCGGTCGGTCATTAAAAAACTGCTCGTTCGGCCTTCGCAGCGGTTGGGTGATTTTGTGGGGCGGTGGCGCGGGGCTTTGGGGAGGGAGACAAGGAAGTGTTGTTGTTGTTGTTCGGCGCACATCTCCTTTTGTTTGGCAAGGTCAATGGGAAAAGGGCGGCGAATAAACTTCAGCCAAGGTCATTTGGCTGAGCGGTTGGGAGAGCCGTATAACAGTTGCCGATCATCGTGCGGGGTGGACTGAACTGCCACGACAACGGCGGCGGCGGCGGCGGCAAAACCCGTTTTATCTCAAGAAACTAAAACGCAACGGAATAAAACTGGTTCTTCACAGCCACAAACGGCTGATAAAAGCTAGACGAGACATTCAAATGTCTCGCGTGTTTTTCGCCTTGGAAACGTTTTCGATTAACATCGTAAAAGTTTTATATATATGTATTTTTAGGCAAACACGTTTCCAACACATGCGATACCGCGGCGGCCGTGAACTGCCGCCGCCGCGGCAAAGAGATTAAAAGTGGCGCGATGCTGGGTCGCTGAAAGGCAAACGGTCAAACGCAGAGTAATAAAATTTGAATTTAAAAAATGGCGCCATGCCAAGCTCTAGAGTTCTAAAGCAGCCAGCTTCTGACCGTAAACGATATATCGATAGACTGACAAACGAGATTATCGATTATAGAGGGCGAGGGAATTTGAATTGTGTCAGTCTGGCAGTACTGGTATTAGGAAACAAACAAACATACACAGATACACGCACACAACACACAAATTCGTTCGACAGAAATGCTGGCCAAGCTTAAAACCGTTTAAATTGAAATAGAAAACCACTTGTACGGCGTGTACGGGCCGCTGCCAGGAAACCAATGCGCACTTTTACCGTTCTAAATTACAGTTATTATTGTTGTTATTATTATTTAGAAATTTTTTTTTGCGCCGCAGTGCGGGAGTGCGTGGTGCGATAAAGTGGAGAAGTGAGTGAGAAGAAGTGCAATGAATACGTCAACAGTCAATCGATGCCGTCGATCTTCGCTGACGAGGGCTGCTGGAACAACGGGCGAGGATGCTGGAACACCGGCGACACCGGAACTGGGGGCGGGCGGCGACAGTAATAACGGTAGCGTGGGTGGTGTGGCGGCCGTGACGCCCAGCTGCCTGGCGAAGCGTGACTCCGAGGAGGATGCGTGGGCATCCAAGGGATACAATTACATTAATCCGTTTGTCCATCGCATCGAAATCGACAGCCACATTGAGGTGGCCAAGGTGAGTCTCTTCCTCCGCCCACGCATACGTTCCAGGGGCGCTTTTAAAGGGGGGCGCCCCATGAACTTAATAAATATTTGCATAATCGCCTGCCTGCCGCTAATCGCTAATCGCTAATTCCCCTTTTCGATCAGCCTCTGGCTTCCACACTTCCTCTCACCGTCACCCTCTCTCTCATTCACGCAAATCGGGCACATGTGCGCCGATCTCCATGCGAAAGAGACGTATGTAGCTAGGGAGAGAGACGTAGCACCCCCCCACCCATCTAATGGTGGCCATCTTTCTCACTCGCTCCCAAGACATACTGCACTTGACATGCATATTTGCCGTTACATTGATGGCCACTCTCCTTCTTCTTCTTGTTCTTGTTCTTGTTCTTGTACCCTTTTGTTATTGTTGGTGGATTTCTGCAGCTCTCTTCCTCTTTCTTTTTTTATCTGGCTCTGCCAACGTTGTTGGGGCCTCTCTGCCTACGTCAACGTTTTGCTGGCGGCAGCGAGAATCGTATGATTTTCTTGTTCTACTTGCTGATGTTTTTGTTGTAGTTGTTGTTGTTGTAATGCCGGTTCTTTTTGGCATGTGTGTGTATGAGGTATTGTTGTTGTTGTTGTTGTTGTTGGCAGCCATTCTTTTTTGTGGGCTCTTCCGACTCATTAAATGGGGTGTCGAAATCCAATATAGGGGCATATTCGAGTTAACCTCAAGGACCAGGGGGTGGTGGGGTATGGGGGTTAACTATGGTGGGGTTAGCCCCCTCTTAAGCACCCAAACAATAGTCACTGTCTGTCTTTGGCAGGGTATCTTTATGGTCTTACACATTCCTTGGAGAAAGCTTGGTTCCTCCTGGCCTCCCACCCACTCCCACTCAGTGCAGTGGCCTGCTTTTTATTGTTTTCTAAGCACCCACCCCATCCCACCGACTCTAATTGCGGGAAATAAAAAAAAAAACACCATTAGAGCCTGCAATGAGCCATGGTAATGAGCCAAGTGTTTTGTGTTTTTGGCCTGGTTTATGGATCAGTGGATAAGGGGCCTCTCTATATCTCTATATTCAGTGACTCAACAGACGTGACTAGGTTCTGGGAGAATGGCATTACAACAATTAATAATCCCCGTCTATTTATAGGCCTTTCTAAGAGTAAACAACACATCACATCCATAGAACCCAGGGCTAAAGTCCCTAAACCCAATGACGCTATCACATCACGCTATCTCTCTGACTCAGAGGCTTTAAGAGTTCCAAAAGTGCACCGAGAGCGGGGAATCACTGAATTCGAGTCACTGACCTACTAAAACCAATACAAATACAAACATAATGAAGCTGCACAGCTGTTTCTGAAGGTCGCTGAGCTGATGGAGGGGGCAGGAGGCCGGAGGCAGGTGGGGATTCCGTATCATTGCGTGCACAAAAATATAAAAACCCGTTTCGCTTTCGTTCGCTTCACGCTTCCGTCCAAAGTTCAAGGCACTCCACTGGCCCTGGCATTGTGACTTGGCCGAGATGTAGATCTTTAGAATCGAATCCCCCGAATCCCCCCCCTAATCCCGTCAAGGCCTCACTAACTTCCAAAGTTCACGGCATCACCCTACCCATACCACTTGACTGATAAGGCACTCGTATCGGACCGATTAGAAACTGCCGGTGGGATGTAAACATGGACATGTTTGGGGGCCACTTGATTTGGGGCGTCTGCTGGTATAAATTATGGCGGAAATTGGTTAAGCTGATACGGAGGGGCTACCTCTAAATCCAACAATCCTATGATATAATCCATGACACTAATACTTGCTCCCATTTCAGACCTATGTCCTCACGCTGCTGTTACTTCCCATCCGGGTGGTGGGCTGCGTCCTCTCCCTAATCTCCGCCTGGATGTTCTCCTGCATCGGACTCTATGGCCTGACATTGGATGACCTGAAGGAGAAACCGCTTACCGGCTGGCGGAAGTGAGTGTCTGGGACTACCATCTAAATGCCACTAATTTATTGATATTTTTCACACACGCCACCCCTCCGTACCACCCCTCCACCCCTGTGTCCACCCAGGCAGGTGCAGTATCTGACGGCATGTGCCATGCGAATGGTGTACACATTCGGCTCCTTCCACTATGTGAGCATGAAGGGCAGGCCGGCGACGCCGAAGGAGGCACCGATCCTGGTAGTAGCACCGCACTCCTCCTACGTGGACTCCATCCTGGTCGTGGCCAGTGGCCCGCCCTCGATAGTGGCCAAGCGGGAGACGGCGGACATACCACTGCTCGGCCGCATCATCAACTACGCCCAACCGATCTATGTGCAGCGCGAGGATCCCAACTCCAGGCAGAACACCATCCGGGACATTGTGGCCCGGGCCCGATCCACCGACGACTGGCCCCAAGTGGTGATCTTCGCCGAGGGCACCTGCACCAATCGCACCGCCCTGATCAAGTTCAAGCCGGGCGCCTTCTATCCGGGCGTACCCGTTCAACCGGTCCTCCTCAAGTATCCCAACAAATTCGACACCTTCACCTGGACCTGGGACGGACCAGGAGTGTGAGTATCCCATCCAGCCTAACCTTGTTGCGCACCCCTCTTATTGAATCACAAATGCGTTCTACAGACTGCGCCTCCTCTGGCTGACGATGACGCAATTCTACAATCGGTGCGAGATCGAATACCTGCCGGTGTACACCCCCTCGCCGGAGGAGGTGGCCGATGCTAACTTGTATGCCAACAACGTCCGGGAGGTGATGGCCAAGTATGTTTCCTCGAATTTCCATTTCGATACTTCTAATTTTAGAAAGCGTTCTGGTTTTAATGGCAACTATTGCAAATATATATCCGCTTGAAGGCCACCTGGGAGGAGCCCCTGACCCGGTCGGTGAATAATGCATGCGACTAGCTAGCTATCTAGCTGGCACAGCCGGCTCGAAATTAGACTTTCAAAGCGATTCCGTGTTTTTTTTTGAGGAAAAGAATAAAATGAAAGCGAGAATCTCTTAACCAACCTTTTGTAACCTTCTCCGCTTTTTTTCAAGGGCCCTGGGCGTACCCACGTCGGATTACTCGTTCGAGGATGTCATCGTGATGAGCCGGGCCCGTGACATGAAGATCCCATTCCCCGGCGACATCGTCGAGATCGAGAGGACCATCGAGAAGCTGGGTCTTGTGGAGAGCCAGCGGGACAAGGAGCTGTGCGAGTGCTATCTCCGGCTGCCCGGAACGGACAAGCTCGATATCATTACCTTCAGTGAGCTGCTACGCATTGATCTCAAGAATCCTGAGCTGCACAAGTTGTTTGCCCTCCTCGATCACGTAAGCTAGTGGATTAGCTCCTCTTCTTCTGGCCTCTCTTTCTATTTGAAACTTTTATCTAATCCTCTAGCGACGTGCGGGCACCGTCAGCCTGAAGAGCTTCCTGCTCTGCTCCCTCTTTTGCAAACTGAAGAATTCCGATCTATTGACTTTCCTACGGGCCCTGATCAACGTAATATATATAGACTGATCTTATACCGAGCTATAGTAACCCATTGTTCTGTACATCCTATAGCTATATAGCGAGTCTAGTCAAAAAATCGACAGAGAGAGCTTCGTGCGACTAATGCGACATGCTGGCGGGAAACTGAATGAGCAAAAGGCCCAATCGCTATTCTACGCCCTGGATCCAGATAACCTGGGCTATGTATCCTTCGGTTTGTCTAATCTCTTGACTTGACTTTAATTTGATTTAAAAATAAATTCATTAACTCCACACAGATGCCTTTGTGGAGCACACGGAGAAGCAGAAGTCAAGCTACAAATTCCTGTACCACAAGTCGGAGCACATAAGGAGGCCCAAGGTGGCCAACTAAGGTGGCCAAAAAAAAAAAAAAAAGCGGGGCGAGTAGGCGTTATAGATGGAAACCCAAGCTAAGCAGAAAGTTCAACTGTCAAGTGTATATTTATAATATTTATTTATCGTGTAATGCACGGCTCCCTGGACGCCAGATATATATATATATATATATATATACATATAAATTGTAATTAATATAGTTTCTATAATTATTAACGTAGATATATATATATTTTTTTTTTCATTTCGTGTACAATGCTCAGAGCAAATAGATCCCCAGCTTTGTTATTATTTATACTCGTACCGACTCTTAAACACAAGTCATTTCATCTATGTGATTCTTATTATATACTTAATATATATATATATACAAGAGCTATTATATCCGAGACAAGGAATATATATATATATATATATGTATTCACCCACAACCTCTTATTGTAAACCAATTTCCATGGCAAAGATGAATAATGTAATGCCGTGAGATATAGAAGATATAGAAACTTTTGTAACTGCAAACTGAAAGCCAAATTAGCTCTGAACACCACCAAAAAAATGTAATGAAAACCACATACTGAACAAAGGAACTGCGATCGCCAATATGATCATAAAAAACAAAAAAAATATGTAGATGTAATCACCCACTTACTTACCCAACTGAACAACAACCACCAAGCACTCTAAATCTAAACTATAGCTATAACGATTATGTCCCATTTCCCATCAAGTAGAAGAGCAAATTCTGAACGCTTTGAAACATTAATTCTATCTGTAATTTTGTAATGACTTTAGACAAGTATGCGCAAAGTGTTCTTTTTATGAATTTAAACTGTAGGATCTCTGATCTTGTAAATGTTCTCCTCAGTTCCTTTAAGTTCCTGTCGAGTCAGTCGAACATTTCTTGTGCATTTGTAACTTACACATGTAGACTTTAGTAGAGCTCAGCACCTGGCACTTGGAGAGCATACATACATACATATATAGCATGTACTTAAATCTTAACACCTTGGCACTTAATATAACACACACAAACAAGCAGAGTCTATTTTACAAAGAATGTTATTTAAAAACGAAACGCAAGTTAGAAAACGTTTGAATAATTGTAAAAAGAAAAGTAAAACTCGTAGTTTTTACATTTGAGATGAACTAAACTAACCCCTAAGCTAAACAAATGATTTAATTTATGTGCTATTATTGTAAAAGATATTATTAGCGCCCTAAGTCATCAACAGCACCCAGAGCAAGCCGAAAGCCAAAATGGTTATTAGGATAAATCTGCTCAAAAGAAATATATATATGTGTACGATTTTAATACCTTTTGTACGGAAAACTTATTTTGTAGTGAATTTTTTCCGATTTTTAGAGAAAAATTTGTGGTTTGTTTTCGACGAAATCTCCTGGTATGGAACTCGAAAGGATTTGGGACGCTGATTCCGAAAATATCTTACATTGCCAGATCGGACCAAAAAGGCCGAGATATGAACTCTAAAAATCCCTATTTTGTGTTGGGATTTTGATGCAGAATGGTGGAAAATCGATCTAGAAATCGTTTAAGGTACTTCTCTTGAGAATCGGATCAGAATTGGAGAAGCTATAGCCATCGCAGTGGGCCCTATAGGGGAAAACCCCATTGTCAAGGGAACCCGTCAAGAAAAATGGACAAAAAAATCTGAAAAATATTTTGTGTTGGGATTTTGATGCAGAATGGTGGAGAATCGATCTAGAAATCGTTTAAGGTGCTCCTCTTGAGAATCGGATCAGATACAGAGAAGTTATAGCCATCGCAGTGGGCCCTATAGGGGAAAACCCCATTTTCAAGGGATCCCATCAAGAAAAATGGACAAAAACTCTGAAAAATATTTTATGTTGGGATTTTGATGCAGAATGGTGGAGAATCGATCTAGAAATCGTTTAAGGTACTCCTCTTGAGAATCGGATCAGATACAGAGAAGATATAGCCATCGCAGTGGGCCCTATAGGGGAAAACCCCATTTTCAAGGGATCCCATCAAGAAAAATGGACAAAAAATCTGAAAAATATTTTGTGTTGGGATTTTGATGCAGAATGGTGGAGAATCGATCTAGAAATCGTTTAAGGTGCTCCTCTTGAGAATCGGATCAGATACAGAGAAGTTATAGCCATCGCAGTGGGCCCTATAGGGGAAAACCCCATTTTCAAGGGATCCCATCAAGAAAAATGGACAAAAACTCTGAAAAATATTTTGTGTTGGGATTTTGATGCAGAATGGTGAAGAATCGATCTAGAAATCGTTTAAGGTGCTCCTCTTGAGAATCGGATCAGAATTGGAGAAGCTATAGCCATCGCAGTGGGCCCTGTAAGGGAAAACCCCATTTTCAAGGGATCCCATCAAGAAAAATGGACAAAAAATCTGAAAAATATTTTGTGTTGGGATTTTGATGCAAATGTTGGAGAATCGATCTAGAAATCGTTTAAGGTGCTCCTCTTGAGAATCGGATCAGATACAGAGAAGTTATAGCCATCGCAGTGGGCCCTGTAAGGGAAAACCCCATTTTCAAGGGATCCCATCAAGAAAAATGGACAAAAAATCTGAAAAATATTTTGTGTTGGGATTTTGATGCAGAATGGTGGAGAATCGATCTAGAAATCGTTTAAGGTACTTCTCTTAAAAATCGGATCAGAATTGGAAAAGTTGTAACCATCGCAATGGGCCATATAAGGGAAAGCCCCATTTTCGTGACGCTGATTTCGAAAAACGGCCGAAATATGTGCCAGAGGAAGCACATTTCTGGCCCGATCTGGCAACGCTGCCACTTTCGGAATCAGCTCACGAAAGTCCACCGAACTGCATGCCAGGTTTTTCGATATCGAACAACTCATTTTTAACCGTTTTTTAAGCTAAAGCATAGTACTGAGTTGACGAAAATCCGCTGTCAAACGAGTGACAGCTGTCAAACTTCATATAAAAAAAACGGTGTAAAAAAGGAAGAGGAAGAAATTTTTGCCTTCTAGATTTTGCGGGTACTGAGTTGACGAAAATTTTTGTTATCGATTCTAATCGTGTTGCCGGATCAAAAAAAATAAACAGCTGCTCTCGGGGAGTTAAAAGAAATATTTTAATTTATTTCTATAGGTGTGACATGGAGGGTCAATTGACCAAACAAAAAAATAGTCGGCCCAAAAAAATTTTCGATGCGCCAGGACAAATTATAATTAATTTCTGCGGTCAAGGCGAAGCCCATAATATGGGATTTGACCCACAAGGGGCATTAACATTCCATAAAATGGCATTGAAATGATTTGTGATTGATTTTGATTTTGATTTTGACCCAGTTTTCTATTTCTTATTCAGTTCCTTAACGGCAAAATACATAAACAAAACACCAACATCCAATTGATTTGAATTCATTTTTCCTTATTGGTTTTTTGTTTACAAACAACAGCTGTTCAGTATTACCTTATTTCTTAATATTTTTGGTCACACTAGCTCGGTAGCTGAAGTGCGATATCGTTATCGGATTTTCAACAGCGGATTTTCGTCAACTCAGTACTATGCTTAATCAAAAATATTCATCTTTAAATTATTTTACATAAAAATATTATTATTATTATTATTTTTAATTTTATTATTATTATTATTATTATTATTATTATTATTATTATTATTATTACTTTTATTATTATTATTAGAGAAAAATATAATTATATAGCGTTGGCTATGTGGCCTTCGGCTTAGCCTACAGTTTAGGTTTTAAATATAATTAGTTTATTTTTTTTACGAAAATAACTTTAAATACAACAATATTTATACAAAGCTAAAATTTGTAAACATTTTTTCGATTTTCTCGATGTTTTACGAGCAATAAATCGATATATCGATATCCCGTGATCGATACTCAGCTTTATTAAAAACAAAGTCTGGCCACATTCCATTACCGCAAGAGTCCCCAAAATTGTGATTTGATTTTTCTTCAAGAGGAAGCATAAAATGGATAAACAAAGGGTACGGGACAACGGAGTTATCCGAGTTCCGTGGCAACAGCATAGGCACGGGCAGCCATTTCAACAGCCTCTTCCGAAGATGACGCCTCCTGAGTGCATCGGCGCTTTTAGCATCACCGACGGGGAGTATCAGAACGACGCCCGGAATGCCACCTATCTGTGCGATCCCTTCCCCGAAACGCCCATCGATCTTAACCACGGGATCGAAAATGTGATACGAAAGGGATCACGAACCCTACTCGACATAGAGTATGTGCTTAAATATGTAGAAAGTCATCGAAAAGAACTTCTGGTAGTGAAGGGAAACACCATCCAACTCGAAGCGGATTTCGTAGCGTTGCGGGGTGTCTTGAGGCATATCATGTGTCTGCAGTACGACCGTCTGCAAGATCTTCGGATTAAGGTGACACGAGCAAACGGCACCATCTATATAAATAAAGAGGACACCGAGGAGAAATTGGCGCACGAGGCTTCCTTGTCAAGCCGGCAACTCGACATGTGCTCCTGGGGCTTCAAGTTTGAGCAGTGCCTAACCAGCGACAAGCCATGCGGTAATCCGGTAACCGATGTACCTGTCAACGAGGGCAACGAACTTAACTGCGTTTTTCGCAAAAATATAAATGGACTTCGTTTGATTTATGGAGCCGAAATGGACTGCATTGTCAGTTCTCAGCCAGTGTAAAAAAAATCCATCTTTATATTCGATCTTATATCCATTATTCACTCACATCCTTTTCCAGGAATTTCCAGGACCCTCTCAACTATAAACGCCTTGAATTTGTGGAGCTGAAGACTGGACCCTACAATAGGAGCCCCCATCAAGAAAACATGTTTAGCCGCTTTAAGTCGGCCAACTGGTGGAGCCAATCTTTTCTGGTCGGCATCAAGACGATCTACGCCGGTTTGAGGGACAATAACGGCGTGGTGCAGGAGATTCGCCGATACGATACGCGGGAAATGTCCCGTGATTCACCGTGGAGCCCAGCGGCCATGGTTGTGTTTCTGGAGAAGTTCCTGCGCCAACTCAAGTCTCTCATGGAGGCGATCGACGATCCATTTGCCGTTGTCCAGGTTGATTTCAAGTGTCAGGAACGATGTGCTTACTATAAGGTGCTGCGCGGCAAGGAAAACCAGATTCTACCCGACTGGTACCGCGAGCTTCTAAAGGGCCAGTTTGGTTGAAACAACTGACTTTCAAGGTCTTGCGCTTAGTAATCGGTTAATAATTGGCCAGGATTATCATTTTGCTCTCGTCCACATAGGGCGAACTCAAGATATCCCTTATTTGGATAAGGTGTCTCTGAAAAATTGAAATGTACAAATATTTTATTCTTCGATTTTTATAAAGAACGACTAAGAATCTGCCTCAAGTCTTCAATCTACAAATCTTTCGAGGTGTTCCTCTTACAAATCAGATAAGAATTGACAAATATATAGACATCGTTCTGGCCGATATACGGTAAAACCACGAGTGAACCATTTATCGTAAGGGTCTCTTCAGATGTGGAATCGATGTACAAATCTTTTAAGGAACAATTATTGGAAAAGATTAAATTAAGGAATTAAATATTTATAAACTGAATCCAAACACAAATTTATTTCAGACCACAATGATTTAATATACATACAATGGAGACTATGAATACTTCGGTTAAACACTTTTCCAATCGTTTCAAACGTTAGTTACCTAAGATTCTCTTATATGTTACTTATGACTAATATAGAACTCGGGATCATTTGAGGTCGTTGGTATCCAGAAGGGGAATGGCCGTAGCGCCGTACATGGAATAGTCGTCGGCGGGCCGTGGGGGTGAGCTGGCTGTCGGGCGTCTTCTGTCTGGTGGAGAGCCAACGTTAAAGCCGCTGCCGTAAATATTTGTGGAGGAACTGGACGAGCTTAGAGCTTCGCGCTTCTCGATGACACAGTCAAAGAAACGGGAGAGCTTCACTGAGCCCGTAGTGCCGGCAGCTAAACTCCTTGTGTCCCGACAGTTTAGCCAGATTTCTTCAGCTCCACATTTGTCCGCTTAGGAAAAGAAATAATTATATTAACTTACGTATATTTTTCACGGGAATAAAACTCACCTATGCCGCCCACCTTCTTCACTGACGTTTTGGGATGGCGCTTCTCATCGATAAGATCCATTTTGGTGCCCATTACCAGAATTGGTGTCTGGGTGGCCCCGAGGAATTCCTCCAGATCGAAACGTATATGGGAATCTGAAGCGCCCATGCAGGAACTGGACGACGAAGCGGATGGTGAGATGGATGCGGAGGCAATCGATGTGCCCGAGGGTGAGAAAACTGTCATGGGCGTGGGCGAAGATGGCAGAGAAGGACCGCGTGCTTTGTACGTATCCTTGCCCTCCTTGTTGACAATCTCGTACAGCCAATCGATCAACTGTTCCTGCGACTTGGCATTAGTTAGATCGTGCACCAGAATGATACCATGTATGCCAGAATAGAAGACACTCCGGGTGTTTTTGTGGCTCAAAGACCCGCCAATATCAAAAAGCTCCACAAAATACGGACTTTGGCGGATGGTGCCCTCCCTGAACTCGTGGATCTTCACCTGAATGTTGCAGCCCACCGTCCAGCCAGGTCGTATCAGGGACTCATTGTGCGCAATCAGGTGCGTCAGGCAGGTTTTTCCCACACCTGTGTTAAAATTAAATGCATTTATTTAATAAAATTTGCTGAAATTATTTAATATATACTAACCTGAATCGCCGACTACGACAATTCTGACGCGATTGCTCATTGATATTCCATGAGTTCCCTCCAGGGTGAAGCTGGTTACCTACTTAATGCCACGTTTGAAGTCTTTAAATACGAAAAAGGAATAATAAAAACAAATAATCCTAATGCATCGATAGAACTCACCACTAGAGATGGTAAAATGGACAATCTGTAGCTCTATCGATGTTTTCAATAAATGGTATCCATTCAAAAATATTTTTAGTAGGAAATTTAATAATAAATCCTTACAAAATATAAGATTAAAGTTAAAAATTACGAAAAACATCGGAATTTATGAGGATCTACTCACCATACCATACTGACCTGAGGTGATTATCAAAAATACCAAATAATCGTTAAAAGGTATTTTCTAACACTGTTTCGATAAACAGCTTAGAAGTTTTTAATTTTATTTTTTATTCACACAAGCTGCTGTTTTTTTTTTAACATTAAAAAGACTGTTTACTTTCAAATAAATTTAAAAAAATGCCGGTAAGTAGAAATATTTAAAATATAAGAGAAATATGGCTACAGATTGGTGTGTTGACTAACAGAAATTCAAATTCAAGATAAGAAACTAGGAATTTCTGTTTTTATTTACATGTTATTATCTTTCGATTATTAGGCATACCACTCGGAGATTGAGGAATTTAGTGGATCGGTTGGCAATATGGCTATATTGCCATTACGCACCCAGATCCGCGGACCAGCGCCCAATGTCAATATTGATAACGACATCGTGGATGAATCACTATACTACTACAAATCGAACATTTTTTTTCGGACATACGAAGTTAAGGTTGGTTTTTTGTGGTATTTTTGGTTTAAAATATCATTAATAGAAAATCAAAACAAACTACAAGTAATACATAGGGTATTATCTCTAACCAATAGCTCAGCCAAAATGAGATAAAATATTTCATGTTGTATTCATACATTTCTCTCTTTAACCCATATTTCCATATCTTATCGCAGTCGGAAGTGGATCGTGTCCTTATCTATATAACATTATATATAACCGAATGCCTGAAACGTTTGGCCCGATGCACCAGTAAAGCCCAGGGCCAGCAGGAATTATATAGTCTGGCTATAGATCGTTTCGATCTGCCAGGCGATCCGGGTTTTCCCCTTAACTCCATCTATACAAAGCCAGAGGATCCGGAAAAGATGCGTCAGTATTTCCTGCAGCTGCGTCAGGAAACCGGAAATCGACTTTTGGAGAAAGTTTTCGATACACCCGATGATAAACCGAATAAATGGTGGATTTGTTTTGCCAAAAAGAAGTTTATGGAGAAGAGCTTATCCGGACCAGGATTGTAAATTATATTATATATATTTTCAATTTCTATTTTTTTTTTGATTAGCTGTGAGTTATAACTGATCACTGCCTATGGTGTATAAAAATATAAGATGAATTTAAAATTATATATAAAAGATATTCCCTTCATATATTTTGCTTTACTTTTTTTTTAGTTTTACGGAATCAAATTTTTCATATTGTATTCATACATTTATTCATTTATCAAGTATGCTTTTTTTTTAAATCAATACATGCTTTATTATATTTCCAAAATTTTACAAATTGGTTTTATTCTCCTTTATCCAGTTGATTAACCTTCTTGTCCTGAGTATCCTTATCCTGCTAGTCTGAAGAATCTTTTCCGGCGTCCGCTAAGCGTTTCGATCTCAAGTGCTTACGAAGGATCTCCTCCAGATGTTCACGAAAAATTTCTGACTTGAAGCAATTTTTAGTGTCATCGGGTATATACACAAGCTTTCCTCTTGAAGGTTCTTCCTGCTTGGAGGTTTCTATTTCTAGATCATTTAGCTTCTTGGAGACGCAGTCGATTTTCTCTTCCGAGCTCTTCGGTTCGATAGCTTCGTCCTCCTCCTTGGAGAGCTTGTTTGGAGCATCTTCCTCGCTGTCTTCTGGTGGATCTTGTATAAATTGTTCATATTCCTGCTGGGGACCCTTTGGGGAATTGATTGTATCGGTTTCAGTTTCCAGATCATTTAGCTTCTTGGAGTCGCAGTCGATTTTCTCTTCTGAGCTCTTTGGTTCGATGGCTTCGTTCTCCTCCTTTGGGAGCTTGTTTGGGGTATCTTCCTCGCTATCTTTAGTTAGATCTTGATTAGAATTTGCATATTTTTGTCCTTCAATATCCTTTAGGGACTCGTTTGGAGCAACCCCTCTGCTATCTTTGGATAGATTTTGCTTGGAATTTTGGAATTCTTGTTGTGGAACCTTTGGGGATTGGTTTGTATCACTTTCAGTTTCCAGATCATTTAGCTTCTTGGAGACGCTGTCGATTTTCTCTTCCGAGTTCTTTGATTCAATAGCTTCGTCCTCCTCCTTTGGGAGCTTGTTTGGAACATCTTCCTCACTATCTTGCTTCAACTTTTCGTATTCTTTAACATCCTTTGGAACGTCCTTGTAAGCATTCTCATCAGATATGTTTTCAGGCATGTTCTGATTTATTTCCTGATGTAATTGGATCTCCAAATTCCTTGGGATGGATGGAGTTTCTTTAATGTCCAGCAACGGATTTTTACTAGGATAGTGGACTCGAAGGTGTACCGGAGAAAGGCTCAATCTCTCAAAGAAATTAATAAGATGATAAACTCTGTTGTGCTCCATGGTTCACAAAGTCCTTATTAAGATATTATTATTTTTAGAAAGATACACCAAGAAATTTACAAAGTTTTCGAAATACTTGGAAAAAAAAGAAAGTTTCTTTTTTTTTGAATTATAAAATTTTTCAATTTTATAGAAGTCGAAACGTTTTGTTACGCTCTAGGGCTGTGACTGAAATATGTTTCCAAGTTAGACCCAAAATTCGAATCTCATGGCTTTCTTGGGTCGGAAATTTTTTTAAAAGTCATTAAGTACAATGGGCCTTGTTGGAATTTTTGTTCCTATTTTATTAAATAAGTTTTTTTTTTACCATAAAGTGTATATACATAATCCTTAAAAATAGAGATATTTTTTTGTTTGCTTCTTAGACATTTTAAAGCTTTACAAAATTTAATTTAATTTATTTTAAACAAAAAACTTTGATTTCCAATTAATAAAAAAAACCAGCTTTATAATCATTTATTAAAATTGTGTTTTTTTTGGTTTTTGTTTCGCAGATCATATTTGTTTGGTTTTTTTTTTCTGTTTTCCAAATAATATTTTATAATACAAACAAATGCACAGCTTAAAAACTATAAACAAAAAAATGAATGGCGAAAAAAAACAAAATACAAAAATATAGGAATTAGACTTAAACACAAAAATGAAATATCGTTATTTACACAACAAACAAAAAAAAAATAATAATAATTATATGTATATATATATTTTTAGGATTAAAGTCTATTATTTAAACTCTTTGATTATTTCCACGATGCTCTGATAAGTACCAGTGACGATTCCCAGCACAGCCACTGTCAGAATAAGGATATTCTTGATGTACGACCACATCCCAAGTCCTTTGGGCACTTGGGCCTGGATCACAAAATCGATGAGTACCGGAATGACAAAAGCCAGGCAGGTGGAGCACAAAGCTCCGATCAGGGATATAAACAGATTTAATTGGGGTACTACCAAAGCAACGCCAACTGCAAGGATATTAGGTTTAAAGATTACGATTTATTAAGGATAATGGGGATAAGATTATGAAAATATATAAATAATACTTACAGGTCATCATACACATGACAAAACGAAGGCACACTTGCATGGTGATTGGATATTTCTGGGCACATTCATTGGATCGCTTGATGGGCGGCCACAGGATCTTGATCATGACAAAGAACTGTATGGGATAGCCCAGAAAGACACCGAGGGCAGCCACCACCTTTACCACCTGCGACAGGATGTCCTCCACTACCAGATTCAGGGTAATACTACCGGCCACATCCTCGCCCCAACGAACATAGCTCACAAAACCGGTGAAAATGAACAGGGCGGTGGTTAGGAACATGGTGCTATTGAGGACACCGAAACGACTACTAAAGTTCTCCGGTTTACGCATCGAATTCCGCAGTGGTAGGATCAAGGCGATACCCTCGTAGGAGAACAAGGCGGTTCCAAAAAACAGGGACAACTGAGCACCACCCGTAAATAGATGTCGGTCGCCAATCGATGGCATCGGTCCATCGGAGAAGGCGATGGTCAGGGTGGCGATCAGTCCAAAAAGTAGAGCCACATTGGCGAACAAGGACACGGGGGATATGTACTTCAGGTTGGTCATCAGCGAAGGAATCATGGCGGGCAGTAAAGTGATCAGCATCACCATACTCATGCTAATGTCGACGCCGTTTTGTTGAAGGACCTGGAATTCAAATTCAAAGTAGTGTTGGTAAACGTTCAAAAAAATATATCCATATTTTTAGATTTTCAGTATGTTTTTGAGGAACTGCATCTACCTGATGAAGATTCTCCGTGATGAAGACAAAGTATATGGCACAGAAACCAAATTGCGTGACGCACAGAAACATCTCCACCACCAGTTTCATGAATCGCGACATCCGCCTCAGTGGGCGTGGCCCGTACTCAAAGCTCTTCTCGACGGTTTCCGGATAATCGAGAAAATCAACACCCGGCGTCCGTTCCACCGCCAGAATGGAGCCCTTGATCAGCATCCGTTCACAGTGGACGCACATCACAGCAATGATGGGCAACAGGATGGTGGCTCCTGCCAGACCACCGTTTTTGAAGCAATCACCCATGGCGAACAAACCGGCACCGACACTGCCCTTGAACAGATGGGTGGCTGCCTCCAGATTGCTGGTCTCGTGACCGCGTCGCTTCGCACCCGTGCCCGCTGCTCCGGTCTCGACATTCTCGCCTCCGGCCTCCTGTTGCTTCTCCAGATTTATGGATCGCTCCGGTGGCGTTATTTCCAGTGTCCTTCCCATGTTACCGGCGGCTTCGATTGCTTTCTGTTCGCTGCGCTGCTGCTGTTGCTGCTGCGGAATAAATGGAAAATTTTTTGTCAAAAGAATGCAGGTGGATCGGTGGCATAACGGTACTTTTTGACGTTTTTAAGATCGTGGCGAGAGCAAGGGAGAAAGGTAGAGTGGCCTTCGGAGAGCCATTACCGGTGGAGTACTTGCACTTTAATGGGGCTCTCATCTCTCCATCTCTCCTCCCTTTCGCTCTCACCCCAATCTTTGTGTTTAACCCCACTAAGGGCAGAGGGAGACATTACTTGAGATGATAATTAAAGTAAGGGTTAAAATTGTAAATTATAACATTTAAAAAAATTTCATATAAAATATCACACATACTATTTAGTACTTTCTAGTTTCAAGATCCACTTTTTCTTTATAATTTTTGAAATTAACACTTTTTATTAGTTTAATTTATATATTTTTTATGACAACCTGATCGAACCGGAAAAAGTACGTCATAGAATACTATTTCATTCATAAAAACTTAATAAAAAACTGCTAAAATGATTCAGGGCATTGAAAGTATGCTAATTAATTCAATTTAGCATAAAAGCATTCAATGCAAATTAGGTTTATTTAATTTATTATGAAACATACATACTAGTTTAGTGGAATAATTGAAATGAAAATTAATTGTAATTCAAACAGCAACAACAATAAGATAAAAAAACACTTGAAAATTAGCAACTAATTTTAGTAAATTCCGAGAATAAAAAACCAAATAAACAAACAAATGAAAAAATGCAAGCCAAACACTTGTATTATTGTATTGGTTTTTTTTTTAACGACCAGGAAGCAATTAACCCGCCAAGGCCATAAAAGTTAATTATGCACAAATCACAAAGTGTATTTTTTTCATTTATTTTTAATATTATTAAGAATTTGCATTTTTGTCACAGATTTTGGAGTATAAATCAATCGAAAATTGATTGATAAGATTAATGATTAAGAGCTGATAATAACTGCGATTTTCACCTTGCGATGGTTGATTTTCCCGATTGCCGATTTGAACGAATATAGAAATAAATATAGAAATCGGATGGACGGGCGTTACGCGAAGAGGACCGTTCGCGGCAAGAACCAAAACCAGACTCAGTGCTCGAGTTGGCCAACAGAAGCGAACAGTAAATTGCAAACGGCAAAAAGCGAAACTGCTCCAACAAAACCAAAAACAAAACCACATAATAGTAGTACAAAAATGCCGAACGAACGCCACTCGATTGTGGGTGTGTGTGAGTGTAACTCATGAATATGATGGACATGACTGTGAGTGTATCTTGGGACGAGTGTCTCGTACTGTAACTGCAAAAATGCGAATCACAATTAACCCTGAGACAGTGGTTTTTTTCAAAAAAAAAAAATATATATATATTTAGTACATAATTTTTTAAATATACTAGTTTAAGTAAAATTATAATTTCTAGCGAATTATTCAAAAATTTATCACTCAAACTCACAAACTTGGTCATTAAAGTGTTAAAAGTCGTGGGTGTCTCCCCCACAGGGAAGAGTGCAACCATATCTGATCTGTGAGATCGATAATAGTTTTGAATTTGAAAGCATTATTTGCTGTGCTGACTCAAAGCACTTACAAATCACTTTCGCTTTGAAAATGTACTTTATTATAATATAAATATATTAAATATAGAAAAAAAAATGTGCAACGAGGTGAGTGATAAAGTGGAAAAATATCTAGCGGTCAGTCACCGATTAATGTGACACTTAAGTATCCAATTCAAACTAGTTTATAAAAAATATAAGGTAATATTTCTAAAAAAAAAAACCTTAAAAATGTATACATTAAAAACAAACTTTGTTCAGCAAATAATTAAGCCAATTTGTATGGCAAACCATGATAAGTAAGGTAAAATAAATCCCCTTGTTTGTTAACTAATTTCTGAGAAAAATAAGATCAAAAGCGATTATCAGCAATTAAATCCATTAATGTGATTTCATGCCCTTGCAAAGGGTATTTTAGTTTTAATACTAAGCTCTAAAAAGTCTATAATCCTTATCCTTATAATCCTAATTTGAAATTATCCCTTTTCCCGCCCGAAAACCAAAACAGTGTTGTATAATTAGCAAAAAAATACTAGATGGTGAGACCTTGGCTGCTCTCTCACACATTCTCTCGTTTTTTGCCGCAATGATCCTTTGGATCCTTTGCCGCGTCCGGAAGCTTTTGAATTTTAAATTTTATTTTGCTTTTTAAAAATAGTTTTAATCACTAAATATCTATTTAAATGAAGTTTTTAAATTAAATTCTTTAATTGAGTGCTTCTAAGCCTAATACTGAAGCGTTGTCAGCGAATATAATGTAAAATATATAATAAGCTTATTCAACTTAAATATTATATTATCAGGTAAGTGCTATATATTTAAAATAATTCACTTAAATATCAAAGAGTATCAAGGGTTCGTCTTGTTCTCTAAACTAATAATAACAAAATGGTAATAATAATTAAAATTTCACGAAGCTAGTAATCTATTCACCAACAAAGTTCTATTAGTTCTCATTTGTTTATGATTTATGATATTCCATTATTTTCTATATTTTCTTTTAAATAATTTCCCACAGTTGTCATTCATCATTCAAAGTTAGTTAATTTATTTATTTTGTCGCACCGTCTGTTATGTGAGTTCATTTTTTAACTGCAATAGAACCGTAACATTGATTGCGTCATGACATTGCGCATTGAATTTTTTATTAAAAAAAAAAAAAATCGGGCGGCAGGAAATGGTTCTATCAGGTTCAAGGATCTATAGTTTATGTTCCGGAATTTTTGGTTTCGATTTGGTATTACCCCGGCACGTGCCTATTGAAGTAAATTCTTGAACGCACCAAACCATGTTCGTGATCGTTACACCTGTGTCTCATTTCTTTCATTTTTTATTTTGTCTTTATTTTTTTTTTGTTGAAAGTCTAAAAAAAAAGTATGGAAATTTACTGTCTTGATTGAAGAAGCGCCAGTTAAATGAATTGCACGGAATCAAAGTTCTCCGATCGATCGATCTTGCCTGCATCTCACTTTTTTTCAATCAAGAATCGATCGATGTTTACGGAATTCAGCAATTGGATTATATAAGGAGTATTAAAAACAAATTCATAACAACAAATAAATTTTTACAAAAGGGGGGTTTTGAAATTTATCGATTTAATTTTAAGTTTTTAACTTTAAATAGGAAGGTAAGTACTAATTTAGTTAAAACAAAATCTATTATATATTTTATTTTAAATTTTTTTTTGTAGGACCCCCTTTTAATGGCGCTCCCCTGACTTCCGCTATGCATATCTAACATAAATGGCATTGCCTGCATTTTCCTCCGATCGATCGTTTCGAGTTGAAGGTCGTTGAGTTAAGGGAATACGGTTTCGATTAGATTGATTTGGTTCGTTTCGGATTGGATTAGATTATCGTAATACCCAGAAGCGAGTCTATGCCTCTCTTTTACCCACATTCTTTCCATTCTTAACCAGTTATCTCCAGACGAAAGCGAAAGTCATTAAATAGACGGGAATTTATGCAAACTACCCACCTCTTGATGGAAGATTACTTGTTTTTTTTTTTGTTAATTTATTTTACCGATTTACCGAGAATTGGGGTCAATGTTAATGCCATATTTTTTTTTCTTTTGGAGTGCTAGTGCCAAATAATAATATTAATCAAAAAACCAAACAATATAATTCAATTTCGTTGAACCCGTTTGGCAACTTGATTATTATTCAGCACGTTTTTGGTTTTATGACTTGCGGGTTTTTTGTTTCTGTTTTTTATATATTTTATTTACGAATTATTTAATTAGGTGTGTAATTATTTTTTTTAGGCTTTTGGATTTGATTGTTTTATATGGAGTGCGGTTAACAAGTCGATAAATTTTCAAATGCGTAGTAAGTTTTCATCTTTAAATCATAAAAGTATTGTTTGTGGATAGTCTCTCCAATTAACGGAAGCTTATTAGGCCGGACTAGTTCATAAATAAGATACTAAAGAAGTCGGAAGCTTTTAGAGATCAAGTTCCGGGCAGACTAATAAAAATACTTACGGACAAGCGGACACGCGGACATTGCATGGTAGGGTATATTATAAATGTAGATATTTTCAATTCATCTTTTGATATGATATATTTTTAAGCTTAAAGCTTGGGAGAGTAAAAGACCAAGTTCCAGTTAGAAAAATATTCATATTCAAGATACTATATATCCCCAAGCTGATAGCTTTAAAGAGTAAGAGAGCTAGTTCTGTATAGGAACTAGAATTAACGGACAAACGGACATGCGGACACGCGGACATGACCTAGAAAGAAATACTCTCATATGGTGATGATGTTTGTTTTGCATTTTAACAAAATAATAAACATTGTCTGCAAGATCATTGTTTTCCAAAAATATTATTCCCGAAATCCCAACCCAAAAAAGCGACACGTGAGTACTTTTTCTTATATTTTTTTTTTATATTTTGCTGACGTCAAAACAAACGTCGCAACGTTTATTCTCACTTATTGGCTATGAAAAAAAAAAATATAATCAATTATAATAATTAAAATGCGCTGCACGCTCACTAAGACACAGTTAGGCACTTAGATATATAGTACATGGTATTAATTTTTTCATATATAGTATTCTTCAACAATAAATTCGCCAGGATATACATACGATTAATAGTACTTTAAGATTTAGAATTTTTTTACGTCAAATATCACTAAATCACATTGATTTTTCTTTTTTATTTTTTAAGACAATTATGTTTTTGTGATAACTGATATTTGATGAACCTGATTCCGATTTTGTAAATATTTCGTTATAACTATCTCTACTATTTATTTGGTTGAAATCATTTTGGCTCATCATTGAAGTGCGTTATAATCTCCTTGAGACTTTCGTAGGTGCCGGTGGAGAATCCTAATAGTGCCAATAGTAGGATTACCAAATTCTTGAGACAAATCCAGAATCCAGGACCTTTGTTGGCTTCGCTGCGGGTAATCAGTTCGATAACAGCTGGAAATACCAGAGCCAAAGCCGTCGAACAGAGAGCACCGATCAGCGAGATGAACAAGCCCAGAGCTGGTACCAATTCCGCAATGGACACTACGAAGAGTATCCTCTTTTTGTTTATCCTAGGATGCATTAAGGTATTCAGTTAAGGAGTACTCACATGTGATGAGAACCATTATGGTACGGAATAAAAGTTCACCGAACAGGCATCTCTTCTCCTCATCGATGCGGAAACTCTGTTTAACCCTCGGCCACATTATCTGAATGGCCACAAAGAACTGGAGAGGATACCCGAACATAACACCCATGGATACCATTGCCTTGACCACCTGCGCCAGACTGGATAGAAATATAACATTTAACAGTTGGTCCTTCTGGAGGTACAAGATTCTCATATCCTCACTCACATGGTATCGCCCAGATTGAGGGTCAGACTTCCGCCCACTTCCTCGCCCCAATTCATGTAGCCCACGGATCCGGCGAACAGGAACATGACCGATACCAAGAACATGCCCACATTCAGCACACCCAGCGTCATCTCGAACTGTTCGGTCTTGGCCATTGAGTTCTTCAGTGGCATCACCAGTGCGATGCCCTCGTAGGCAAAGATCGCTGTCCCAAAGAAGAGGGCCAACTGTGATCCATTGGTCCAGAGTGCTCGGTCCGGTATGTTCGGCAGCCCATCCCTCAGTGCATAATACAGTGTTATGGACAGGCCGAGGATCATGCAGATGTTGGCAAACAACGAGACAGGAGCCAGCCACTTCAGATTGGTAATCAGACAGCTGAGAAGTATCGGCGGCAGGGCCGCCACCATCACCAGACGGAGGTCTAGCTCGATGTCGGAGGCATGGAGTATCTTTAAAGGATCTCGATAGCAACCACAACCCTATGATATTCGACGACACCACCACTCACCTGCTTCACGTTCGTGGAAATGAAAACAAAGTAGATGCAACAGAATCCCAACTGTGTGACACAAATAAACACGTCCACCAATCGGCTCATAGTCCGGGACCAGCCCCTCAACTTGACGGGTCCATTCTCGAAACACTGTCTCACGGTGTCCGCATAATCCGCACAGATCTCCTCGCCGTGCAGATCCCGCATCTTCTTGGAACAGGCCACCAGGACGTGCTGGCAATGGATGCACATTACGGCTATGACCACGGTTAGTATCGGTGCCACCACCAATCCTCCGTTCTTGAAGGCATCCCCCATCGCAAACAGTCCAGGTCCAATGTTGCCCTTGAACAGATGGACGATCGTCTCCAGATAGCTTTGAAGCATGATTAAAAATATATATTCCTATTGGCTCATACTTTGAAATACACTTTTTGGATTTTGGATAATTTGAAGAGGCCTTGTGGTCTGGCTGTGGGTGGATGTGTGTTATGGGAGTGTGTTATCCGTTGGATGGAAATTCCATGGGGTCTTGAGAGGATTGGGCTATTATAGTACTATAGGTTGTGTATTATCCAATGTGTTGTGGGTTAGATCATGATCGGAAAGGGTTGAATGATAGATATTTTTGACGTTTGAAGCTAAGTTATCCATAGTAGACTGGGAGTGGTGAGTGGAGTGGGTTATAATAGGATCTTGAGATGTGGGCTTTAGTTTGTCCAATATTTAAGGGTTAGAGTTCGGTTAGTGGTTTTGGCACAGGATCTAGGGATGTGGGTGTTTTCTCATAGTTTGGTTTGGCTTAGGTTAGTAAGTTTCCTTCTTTTAAGGATCTGGATCTTGATCTTCAGGATCTGGAATTTCCGGTGTTGTTTTGTTAGGTTAGGAAACCCATTGGAGTTTATGAGTTTGGGGTTCATAATAGGTTGTCGTTGTACCTTATGATAGTATATATTTTCATGAGGTTGGGAGTGGGTTATCATAGGGTCTGAGATGTAGGCTCTAATTTATCCCTTAGTTAGTTATATTTGGATTCGGTTAGTGTTTTTGGTACAGGATCTTGGAATGTGGATGTCTCCTCATAATTAGGGTTCCGGTTAGTAGGTTTATGGTATTCCCCCATAAGCGTAGAGTATCTGCTTGGGAGTTCTTTCTTTTGAGGTCTTCAGGAACAGGATATGTCGGTGCTGCTTAGTTAGGTGAGGAAACCCCATTGGAGGTTATGGGTTTGGGATGATATTAAAATCCATTTTCATAGGGTTCGTGGAAGATTAGGTGAAAGGATAGGAAGTCCATTCAGGGATGTTATTTTTGAAGGTTTATTGGTGAAGCTTTGTTAGACTTAAGCCTATTCTTAAACTAATTTTACAAATTAAATAAAAGCACATATGAGGAAACTTAAATTTCTAGGTTAGTTATTGGAATGCAGCGCATTTTGAGGTTAGGTTATCCAATAGTGGGTTAGTTCTAGGAAGGGATGAAGCAGTATTCCAGTTGGGTTTGATGGAATACATGTCATAAGCAAGTTGGTTGGTGGTTAGTTGGTTGAGTATTTACCACAGAGGCTCTATCATATATGAGGACACATGAATTTTTAGGTTAGTTATTGGGATGCACGGCATTTGAGGTTAGGTAGCTGTAGGTAGGTAGCAGGGATTGGGTTTTGAGCAGGGATTAAGCAGTATTCCAGTTGGGTTTGATGGAATACATTTCATAAGCGAGGTGGCGGATATCCAATCTTGTTTTGGGTTAGTGGTTATTTAGTTGAGTCTCTGCCACAGAGGCTCTATCATATATGAGGACACTTGAATTTGTAGGTTAGTTTTTGGGATGAAGGGCATTCTAAGGTTAGGTTATCCAATAGTGTGAAGCTGGGTTAGTCATAAGCGAGGTGGGGGATATCCAATCTTGATTTGGGTTAGTGGTTAGTTGGTTCAGTCTCTACCATAGATGCTCTTCAGGTGGTCATACCTGGTGAGTGGATGATAACCCTTGTTATGGTTATTACTTCCGGCATTCCCGGGTGGATCAACTGCAACTACCTTGCCACAGGCCGTCTCTTCGTATCCTCCTTGCTCGTTCACATTGCGCCGCTTGGTAGTGGTTATGTTTTGTATCTGAATGTGTGCCTTTAAAGTAAAATATACTCATGTTTGTTTAATATAATTAAAGGTTTATGTAACTCTTGTCGCTCTCATTCTTAATTGACTGAAGAGAATCGTCGAGTGCTTCCGCTTGTCCATCTCCATGATCAAGTTCAGAGACGAAGATTTAATCGGCAAGCCCACAGATCAACTTGTGCCCATTCAATTCCACTTGACTTAAGTGGAAGTAAGTGTGGGATGAATGGAATATTTACATGGGCCTTTCCCCACCCGATTCCATATTCCATCCCCATTATAACATTGTAAATCATGGCTAATTAAACGGATTGATAAAAGCCGAAATACAAAGCAAATGCTATCACTCTCCTATCGAGTCTATCTATATCTAAATGTGTTTATTTTGTGGCCCAGATAGTCCCAACAACTTTGCCAAATTATATATATACATATATATATATCGAGCACGTGCCTGTCTCGATCATTACAACCTCAATGAGGTCTAGATAAGTTGTATAGTACCAATTGCAATCTCACCAAATGCGTTGTTCAGATTCTAATTGAATTATGAGTATGGGAAAAATGTCAAGTGCCAAAGTCTGTACGATATTTCATATCTTGAAAGCCATTTAGTTCGTGACTTTATTGTGAAATTCAAGCCCCTCTTCTGAATCGAAAACCCACTATGGAAATTAATTAACCCTTAAGTAAGTAATAGGAAACCTTCCCCCCTCATTAGGCACGTTCATTCATAATATTCTAGTGATAGCTTATCAGCCCAAAAACAAAAGAAATTATGACTGCAATTAAGAGGGCATTCTAGAGATTCAATGATACTCTGGATGATATTTATTGGCCACTTATTGAATGATCTTGTTGCTAAGCCTTATCGATGCCACCCAAAACTCATCTCGAGTGTTATAAATAATGGTTAAAGCTATCGCTAACTGATTTTGATTTCAAATGCCTCTCATTTTCATTGTAAAATGGAAAATAACAACTATATCATACCATACCATACCATACCATACCACATGTCGTATACGCAATCTCGTGTATTGGCGCCGTATGACGTATGGCTGTTTGTGGAGGGGAATTTTTTATGTCGAGAGACTGTGGTCTAGTCTAGTAGTAGTACTCCACTTTTGGTATCCCGAAACCTTGTGCAAATCTAGACAATCATTTTTTTTTTTTGCTTTTTTTTATTATTTTTTGATTACGCTTATCGGCAGCTAAAGCAGTTAGAGCCAAGTATAAATTGTCATAATCACATGCCCTGAATATCGAGGCCTCTCGATTGTGGTAACTAGTTTGGTCTAATTTATTGTTCAATTATTGGGTATTATATATATATTAAAAAAAATAAATAAATATGAAAGTTTACATTTGGAATTTTTTAATAAGGTCTCCTAAGAAAAAAAAACAATAGTTTTCTATAGTTTCCTATAATACAAAAAAGAGCATACAGAATACAACTTTTAACAAATATATTAAAAACCTAAAGAAACCATTAGTTTCTCATTATTTTAATCAAGTTTTAGGTCTCAACTGTTCAACACTCTATTAAATAAGGTCTATTTAGATGACAGATAGAACAGCCTTGAAGTGCGTAACGCCACCACCTGCCACCCACTCCCCCTAATCTCCCCACTAGCCCTCCCTCTTAACCCATGGCTGCCCATTGGCAAACTGTCAAGAGGGCCGACACTGATATTATTTATTTATGTATAGTCTCGTTTTTTTTTGTGATTTTTTTTTTTCGTTTTTAATTTTTTGTTGGTTCTTGGTCCCTCTTGAATTAAGAAATATGTCTTTTGAGTGGAAAATTTTCCACAGCGGACAAGTTTCGATTGGTATGGTCGGTGGTCGGTCAATGGGGGGTTCACTGCACTTGGAACAATCCAAATACAGAAGAATACAAATCAAAAACGGGAAAAAATTATTAATTTCTCTTTTATTAATGTTGCCGGAAATGTGACAAGTTCAATGAGAGCTTTGATTGGTTTTTATTGGCAAAGCTTTTGTTGATGCATTTTTTTTGTACAACTTGTTGGAATATGAAATATATGAGAAATTATCAGGAATTTAAATACATTTCTGTTTCATAATTTTCTGTATATTATAAATACTTTTTTCAAGTGTATATCTATTGTGTTCTTTTTTTCAGTTACATATATATAGTAACTTGTCCCAGAACCAGTTCTAACCTTGATCAAACCAAAGTGTCTGTGAATTTTCTCGCTTATTTGCATTTTTATGAAAAAAAATAAAAAAATAATAAATTAAATATAAATTTGAGTAATTAATCCCTTAGGTGTAATAAACCAGACGTAGACCAGGGGGGTCTACGGATTGTAAATCATGGCTAATCTTTTATTACCAATATGTGAACCGAAAACTGATCATAAATCTATAAAAAGATAAGCCCAAAAATGCGTACTAATCAATGAATTGGCTTAAAACGGAAGTTTTGGTTATTAGGAATTAATAAACTTAGTCTCTGTTTTAAGATATAATTAGAAAAAAACTTTTGTCTTTTATTTTAGTAACAGTTTTTTTTTGGTAATATTTTATTTATTTTTTAAGCTTGACTTTGTACTTGAATTCTTCTGTCTTTGGTGTTTGTTGTGCTTTTGCTTTTGTTTTGCCGGCAAAAAAATAACTGGTTTTTTTTGGGGGTCTTGGCTGTTTTTTTTTCTTTTTTTTAAATACGTCGTAATTTTTATGTGAATGGGTTACATATAAAAAGAGTTCTTTTTGGGTTATAGTACATATCTTAATTTTAATTACACACCTCGGCATCCATTTTTGTTGTAGCTGCTTGTACTGTTCTTGTTGTTGTTGTTAAAGAACTCGGTCAAAGCAAAAATAAACAAATAATAAAAATAAAAAAAAAAACAGACAACAAAACACTGAGCGAAAGAGAAGCTAACACACAAAACACACACGCACACACACTCGCTATATTTGATTTATTTTTGTTGAGACTGCATTTAGATATTTTCGAATAAAATGTATTTAGGATGCGGATGCGGCTAATTGAATTTTATTTTCAAGAATCAAGAATCAAGTTTTGAAGAATTCAGTTTTTCTTCTGTGTTCTGTGTGCTAATCGCTCCACGAAATATTCAAGACTGACGACGCCACCGGCGAATCGCCGACCAACGCTTCTGGCTGTCAAAGCGAGAAGGAGCGATGCCCCAACTGAGAGCCGGCATGTGTGCGTGTGTGTGTGTGCGTGTGTTTGTGTTTGTTTTTGGGAGAGTGGGAGGCAGGCAGCTGTTCTCCACACTTCGTCCCGGGCTCCCCGCATTCGCTCATTACAAAAATATTCATCACCGATACGGTGAAGGGAAAGAGACAGGCTGTCAATCAGCTGTTCTTATAAAGAAACCGGGATCGTAATGGCTATAGCCCCCAACCCCCTCTCCTTTGGGGCAATGCAACTTTCTCCTTGGTGTGCTTATCACACCACAGGTGGCGTTGCACACCGTGCCGTGAAAACACTTGTTGAATGAAAATAAATGTTTTCTATGAATTCTTGAATGAGGTATGGTTTCCGATAACCAACCAGCTGGTACTTGAAACGTAAGAAATACTTCAAATGCCATAGAGACATGTTTAAATTATAAGTAATGGAATATTTTTAAGAAATTAAAGGCATATTATATAAATCATAAAATTACTTTATTAGAATCTATCAATATTTTTGGCATAAAACTTAGATGCTTTGAAAAAAAAAGCTTTCAAAATATTCATTTTTTTTTAGGTTCCTACAAGATTTACAAATTCCTTCTTTCATATTTCTTTTTTTCAAACACTTTTCCTAAAAACGCCCTTAAGTAGACTATAGATTATTTCATAAAATTCCAAAAAAAAAATACAAAGGAATCTGATTTTTCCATTCAAAAAATACTAAGATTACAAAAACAAATTTTATGATTAAATAAAAACCGTATACATATGTATGTATGTTTAAAACATTAATTTCATTTACCTTAATAAACCTTAATAAAAAAGTAAACCTTAATAAAGGCTTTCATCTTACCAAAAATTAATTGTAAAAATTATTAGATCTATTGTATAATATAAATTTAATTTAACAATTTTTTCAAGTGTATATTTTCAGTTAACTTTCATTTTTCCGACTTGATCACACTAATGGATCGTTTAATTTATGTTTTATTATTATTGATTTGTTTAAAAATAAACTAAAGCAAAAGAAAATGTCACAAAAGGCGGTGTGAGAACAAAGAATAAACGTTATATATGAAATTACACTATAAAAAATTAAAGAAAACTTGTTAATTTTTTTTTAATAATTAATAGTAATTTTTCCAGTGTTCAATTTTCTAGTAAACCTCTTTTCATTAAATTTTAATACTTTCAATATGAATATTTTCTCTCAGTGTAGCCTACATTCCAGGGCATTCTATTGCGGGACACACGCCAACTTGACGAGCAGATCGCTCAATTAACGACCCTGCTATCCTGTCCTTGGCCTTGAAACTTGACCAGAAAATAGATGAATAGCACACGCATGTCCATCATAAAGAAAAATATATAGATATATGCATAGGTAACTCTGAGAAGATCGGATATTGTACCATGATATGCCATTTTATTTTCTTGGTATTTGTAGGTGGAATGGGTCGGTTCGGTGGGTGGTATCGGGAGACTATTTTCAGCCAACCGAAATCCAATTGCCCTTGCCAGATCACATTTTGGGTCGGGCGATTCAATGAAAAAAAGCTAAAAACGTGATGGATAGTACACTCTCTTTGAAATACACTTCATATGAAATGTAATGGTTTAAAAAAAATTCTATATATGAGAAATTATTAGGAATTATGATAAGTAAAGTCAAAATAATATTTAAAAGAACTATTTTTTATTTTGAAGGGTATTTAAAGTCGGGTACTTAAGTTAAGATACTCGTCATCAATTTATTTCTTTGCTATTTTGATCAGTTTATCATTCTGTCAAAATAATGAAAGAAAAAAAAACAGAATAAGACCAGAAATTGGTGAAATTCTTATTATTTTTGTTGCTTTTCAAATTAAAAGTCATTGAACCTTTGGGTATTATTGATGCTTGTTGGTTTTTATAAGTGTATTTAATTCTTTTATTCTAATTCACAATTATTATTATTATTTATTCATTCACAATTTTTAGTCTAAGTCTAAGGACAAATATTGTCAATTTTTAGAAAACATTTTATGGCTAAGAGAAATGTTTTATGATTTTTTTAAACTTGTAAAACACCTTGACCCAATTTTGTGCAAAATTTATGAGTTTTATATTATGAGTTATTTTAGGATTTATTTTAAGAATAAAACAAGCTTTTTAGATATTTGATATTAGATATTAGATATTAGATATTAGATATTAGATATTAGATTAAATATTAAATATTATATTAAATATTAAACATTAGATAGATACTCGTAGATATTAGATATTAGATAATATTTTTCCAGCCTTTTCGAAAGCCATCTTCTTCGATAATAATAATAATTCTTAAAATACTTTCGCTTTCAACTTCTTAACTCATTCAAAACCTGTAACTCTTACAAGACTCTATAGCTCTTATATCTCCATATCTTTTCGGAACTACTGACATGCTTGGTTTCTGGTTCGTATAAAAAAAATAAATAGAAAACTTGCAATTAAAAAACTTTGTTTACGTTTTGGTTGGTTTTTCTTTTGTTTATTTTTTTTTATATTATTCTGTGGATTATTGTTATTAAAAACTTTGAGCCAGGCCCCCCGATTTCTTTGTCTTTAAATTGAGGTATTAAGTTGGGGCTTGGAAACGTTTAACGTTTTTTAGTGACGCTCCAGTAAGTTTTAAATTCAACAAATTGCAGCTACCTTAGTGGTTGTAATTACCAAGTGACAGTCACTTCTGTGGGGTCACTGCCACTGACACTCACTGTCACTGGGGAAAGTCACCAACAACTTATACTACAATACTTACATATACATATATATATATAAAGCTCCAAAAAAAATATAGACTAAAATAAAAAAAAATTATGAATTTAATTGCAGAATACTTAGAAAGTGAAAGATCTGAAGACGGTCGCGGATTTATAGACATTGTCGCCATATCCGAACTGGAAATCTTAATGTCTTTATTTCGGTTTCAGGTGACTTGTTTTAAAAAAAATCATATTTTTTTGAAAATTCATAAAATTGTGTACTCCAAAATACTTCTTAAAAAATAACGAAATATATTTTGAAAGTCCCCCAACTTCTTAAATCACTTATCTCTTGCTTATTTAGTTCAATTTCCCTCCCTGTCACTTTTCGTTTTGGGTTTACCTTTCCAATCCCGTTCCGTCCCATCTTCTTCCTGGAAATCCCCCTGGCGATATGCCCTCCCCCTGCCCCTCCGCCCCGCCCCTTGGACAAGTCCGACCAGATCCTCTCTAGAATGGCAAGCCAGAAGTGGGACACTCCATGCCACATGCTTCAGTGACAACCAAATGACCTGGCTGCCTTACTTGCCGCATGAGGCATATGCGGCATGCGGCATATGAGGCATGTGGCATGCGGCATGTGGATTGTGGAGCCACCACCTGGCGCTGCTATCCGATCTTCCAATTGGCTGAATAGAACCCGGGAGCCACTGGAGCCAAGAATCGTACTAAACAGTGAGAAAAATAATGTGAAATAGTGACTATGACTATTTTAGTAATAGGTATTAAAATAAAAATTAAACTAGAAATAGTATTTAAGTTCAAGTTAAATTTGAAAATTAAATTTTAATAAATAAATACCCAAGAATAGGTTTTCTTTTAAAAGAGACCTTTTCTCTGGAGTGTTATTCAAGTCATCTTATATTTTAAACAGTTACAGTGGAATAAAATGCTATTTTTATGTGCAAATTTATATTAAAAAAGGATAAGGGATTTATTATGGTCAATATATTTTAATAAGGGATTAATATTTATTATTAAATAAATATTTATTTATTCTTTTTACTAATTATGAATTATTAAAATTGATTAAAATATAATATTAAATGACAGCTTGTAGGATTAATGTTTTGAGCCTTTTCCTAAAATACAATATTTAAAAATATAAATATCTTAGCTTTAAATAAGTTATTTCTCTTAAAAAATCGTAGATAAATATATATTGGATTACTTTTAAATAATTTTTGAGTTTTCAGTTAAGATAGTGCATATTTTTTTATAGAAAATAAATAGTTATTCATGTTTTTCAAGCAACCACATCAAAAAAATTATTGAAATTGTATTAATTTCATACATTTTCTTAAAAATATAAGCATTGTTAGTTATTTACTGTTTTATTGTTTTATTTAAAAGCTTTATTAAAGATTTTATTTATTTATTCTTAGAAGATTTTTGAAAAATATTTTTTGAAAGACACAAATACATATATTAAAACTTAGAATTTTGTTCCTATTACTTTGATGCCATTTCTTACCTTTACTACTTTTAGTTTATATTTAATTTCTATTATGTATTTATATTTGTAAAAATTGTATATTAAAGTTTTATTTATTTAGTTTTTAAAATTTTGCAAAGTATCCCATCCCACTGTGACTCATAGCTTACTCGCAATTAAATAGAGGCTATGATTAGATCGGCAATTTGGCATGGATGGATGAAATGGGATGTCGCAGGGCCAGAACGATCGACAGGTCGCTGTGGAGTGAAGTCAAGAGTTACGGGCTGCCAGCTAGTTGGCTGGCTCGCTTTAGCTCTTGTTGGCTAAAAGTCATAAGTTGGTGGCAGCGTTACGGGCCAAAAGCCAAGCCGAGCCAGAAAACTGGGCGACACAGTGAGATAGTGAGACGGAGAGAAAGACCGAGACTGAGAGTAGTTTGCTAGGGAGGAAGGGGTTGAAGGGGGCTTTCTCCAAATGGCCAAGTCTTGAGCCGAGACTTTGGGCCTGTTTCATTTATTAGCCAGACTCGCAACTAGACAGTTCGTTTAAAAAATTAAAAAAATATAAAATACAAAAAAAAAAACTCGAAATACAAAACGCGCGGGAGTGTGTGAGAAATGTCTTGGTCTGGACATCTCTGGGCATGGATCTGGGTGATCCTATGGGCCATTGATTTAAGCCAGGCCATTGATTTTGGCTATCATCCCAGTGCCGAGGAGTTCGATACACTTTTAAGAACCAATTACGGTCGGGATTTGCTTCAGCGACGCATCCAGGACACTCGAAGATTTGTGCCAAGGTATCAGCATGAGACCTCGGTTCGTTTCGATCAGCCGGAACTGGATTTTCAACTATTCAGTCAACAGGACGATAATGACATACAATTCGGACAGCCCTATGTCTTTGAATCGGTGGAGAATGCGGTGGAGAACTCCGGAATATCCGATCAACTTCACGTCCAGAGTGAAGTCTTGGAAATCAAAGAACCCACAAAGAAACCCTCCCCAAAACCCCATCCCCACAATACTGAGTCAACTAGTTTTCCCATTTATTTTACACATCCCAGTACCGGGATAGTCTATCAAATAAGTCAGGTTGGTGGATCGGGATCAGGACCTCCGGCCAGTCAGCCCACAAGTCAGAGCCGGAATGATAGCAACTCGATAGCCATTTATGTAACAAAAGCCCAGTACGATGCCGATTTGGAATTAATGAGGAAGAAATATGAGAAGCAATGTCAGATGGCAGCACCACCGGGCACAGTCATCTCCACCTTGAATCCCGTGAGGAACTCTGCTTCCAGTGGCACCACCGCCAGGCCACAAATAATCCGCTTGAAGAAACCCGCCAAAAGTCCACAAAACCCAAAACCCAACAACAAATTACCACAAAAACCAAACCATCGACCGCCACCGGTGATGGTGACCAGTGGCCCCATCGATCATGTCAGCGATCAGCTGTTGAAGCTGCCCCACCGCGGCGCCACCACTGCCACCACCACCAGACCCACCAGCACCACCCACAGGCCAAATATTCGGCGCAAGAAACGCAAGAAGAAAAAGCAAAATAAACCAAAAGTGATCAGGAAACGGCCGGGATTAAATAATACCAGGAATCAGCCGGGTCCACTGCCAGTTATTTTGGGTAAGAGACCCACCATTGGGACCACCACAAGGCCACCCCAGCCGCCCCAGGTGGCAGGTCCTCAGCTTGAGAAGCCACACATGCCCCATGCCACACTGCCGACGGGGAATGTTTTTAGTCAGCACCTGTACCGTCAGGAGGAGGGCGATACTTTGGAAATGGAGGGTCCTTTAGATCAGCAAGAGTTGCCGCAGGAGTTCCCCCAGGAGTTCCAGCAGGAGTTCCAGCAGGAGTTCCAGCAGGAGTTCCCTCAGAACCAACAAGAATTCCCCCAGGAGTTACGGATTAACCACAGAAGACGTCGATCTTTGGACTTTGAGAAGGAGCTTGGTGGATCAAAAAATATAGAAGATTTGATAACAGAGAAGGATGAAAAAGAATCGGGAAATAATAAAGAAAAAGTCTCCAAAAATGACGGAACAAATTTTAAAAACAAAAACGAAGAAAATGACACCAAAAATTTGGAGGAAACATTTTCCAATGAAAAAAAGAAACAATTTTTGGATAAAAAAGATACAAAACAAGAAGAAAATATAGCAGAAGAAACCCCTGAAGAAAGTCGAGAAGAGAGTGCAATTCTTCCTTTAAATATTTCCAAGAAAAAACAAAAAAAAACTTTAGAAAAAGCCTCAAAAAAATCAAAACCAAAAAAATCAGCACAAAATATAGATTTCCAATCTCTAGAAAAGCCTGGAAATCGAGGAAAAACCTGGTTAAAAAAAGCCATAAGAAAAGTCATAAAAAAAGAAGCCAAGAAAGTGCAAAGAAAAGTCATCAAAGAACCAAAAGAAACAGAAGAAACTGAAACTACAGAAGAACCCAACAGAAGAAAACGTCGCTCATTGGAAACTCAAATAAAAAAGGAAACAAAAATAGTAGCAACTCACGAAAGTGGAGTAGATATAGGAGTAGGAGGAGAAAAAGGAATCATAAAAGCAGTAGAAGAGACAGGACAAGCCCGAAGAGTTAGTACACCCCGTAGAGGTAGTCCTTCGAAAAGGAATCCACAAGGTGGGAAAAGGAAAACGAAACAAAAGGCCACACCATCCACACCCAGTATCCCCAAAAAGGATAATGCCAGTCCCGTTAATCATCATATTCCGATGGCGGTACATCTCCTTCATAAGAATCACAGCCAGGATGAGAATCACAAGGATAACCGGCCCATCCTGAAACAAAATAAAGAAACAAAAAATGCAACAAAAATTAAACAAAAAACGAAAGAAAGAAAGCGAGGAAGACCGGATGTAGGAAGTGCTTTCGATATTTTCGAACTAATGTCCGATGGGGAGGACTACGAGGACGATGAGGATGAGGACCAGGATGATGAGGATTACTACTTTGATGGAGATTCTGTGACTCGCAAGCCCGATAGCAGCACGGAGAGCCACAAAGACAAAAACGAAGACAGCAGTTCGGCGGAGGAGGGTGCGGATTTCGGTGCCATGGTCGTGGAGGAGACGACCCTGCCAGCCACGACCATGTCCAGCAGCGAGGAAGAGGAGGAGGCTGGCGATGCTACCAAGAATTCCATGGCAAAAAAGAAAATTCGCATCAAGAGGCGACCCATCGATACCGAGGAGGATTACGATGATGATGAGGATTCGGGCATTGCTGGATTCTTTCGCATGATTTTCTATCCCGTTCAGGTGGCCATGTCGCGGCTAATGGATGGTTTCTCCAGCGCCGACGACGATGATGACAAGGAGCCCTTCAAGGGTCCCACGATTACCAGATATCCGACCTATACCCTCTATCATAGCGCACACAGTAACGAGGCCTATGCGGAGGATGAGGATGATGGCGAGGATGAGGAATCTTCCTCGCTGGGCAGCTGGCTGGGATCCTGGTTCGGCTTGCAGCAAAGGACCAAGAAGAGCGGTAGCACCACCACCACTACGTCCGCTCCAGAGCCTACGAAGGAGTCACCCGGATGGCTAGAGTCCTGGTTCGGTTTTGGAAAGACGAGTACAACAGAGCCTGAGGCGGAGGATGACTACGATAGTGAGTTGACTTTTCTTAAATTTATTTTTGTTAAATTTTAATAAGAGTTTAAAAAAATTATTCAAGCATTTAAATTGTTAATTAATTGCAATTACAGACCTTTAGACCATATACCATATTATTAAGCTTGGTTTGATCTTTAAACCAAAATAGAACCTTATAACGATGATGAGGTGTTTTTGTTTCAAAAATAACTTCAAGCTTAGGGATTGATATACTTTCTTTAAAGTTAAAAGAGGCCTCCCTTATTTATTTATGTTCGACTTAATAGAGAGACCCCCTTACTTGATTTAATAGAGAGATTGGCTCAATGAGCAGCGATTACTATCTAGAAAGGGAAACCCCCGTCCATAGAACCCACTAACGGATCGCTCCAAAGTCTTCCCATTTATGGTCACGCTTTCTGCGGCTTTCTGCCACAAAACTTGGCCAAGAAAAAACCCAGACAGTTAAGTCAACTTTCCCATATTTTGTTTGCAGAATGGTTCGCCAGCTGGTTCGAGTCGAAGCCCAAGCGAAAGGTCAGACGCCGTTCCACCACCTCGACCTCGACCACCTCAACCACAACGACCTCCACCACGACACCGTCGTCGGTGGGTCAGGTGCCGATCTTGACGATAGTGGATCCATTGCGGAATCCCCAGAACTGGATCGGAATCCTGGCCCATCACATTGTCAATTCGACGAGCACCACCACCGGGAATCCCTTGCTCCAGGCTTTGGCCACCAGGATGAGCACGAGGGGCACCACCACCAGTACTACCTCCACAACCACTTCACGGCCGGATATTCCCCGAAGGATAAGCTATGACAAGTATCAGATCTGGAGACTGAAGCCCCAGGATGAGGCTCAAGTCCGGGCACTGGAGGAGTTCAAGAAGGGCGAGGATGGAGTCAAGATGCACTGGCTCAAGGGACCAAGTCTGAGGTGAGATAATAAAGTTTGTAATCCTGGAAACAGTAGTAACCTTTAACCTTTAATCAGAGGTCTCACGGATGTCCTGGTGGCCCCCAAAATGCTGGTAGACTTCCAGGGAACCCTCAACTACGAGGGCATTGCCCACGAGGTCCTCATCTTTGACGTGGGCAAGGCCATCGCCTACGAGCGCTCAAAGGAGGACTACCTCCACACCACTCGACCCTCCAAGCTGCGACCCACCATCCCGTCGAGCTCTAGTCTCATGTCCTGGAACCGCTACCACAACCACGACGAGATCGTCAAGTACTTGGAAGTGGTGCGAATGAAGCATCCCCAGCTGGTTGAGCTCATTCACATTGGACGCTCCTACGAGGGACGTCCGCTGATTGTTGTAAAGATCGAATCCAAGGATCGGGGCAGTACGGAAGGACTAACCGAACAGAAACGACCCAAGCGGAAGCGGAAGTCGGGACGAGCCAATGCTGTGTTTGTGGAGGCGGGAGCCCAGGGCTTGGCGTGGATTGGACCGGCCACCTCTACGTGGATGATTGCCGAGATCCTGAGGCTTATGAAGAGTAATAGTGAGTATAGTTTGGGGGTTTTATTAAGGACATTAATACCAGATACTTGAGAAAGAAAAAAATCCTTTTAGATCCTTAAGATCTGGATAGAAAAAAGAATCCAGAGATATCAGATCTCATACGCCAGGCCTATTTATTGTAAGGGATATTTATACCCGGTACTTATAGAGAGAAAGGAAATGTGTTTCTTAGGAAGATAGGAAGTTCTTAGGAAGAAGAAATAGGAAGAGATCTCTCTATCTCATAGAGATAGATTTAAAACTATGATGAGGCTTTTAAGGACTAATAATGGAGGACTGTTTTGGGGTTTGTTTTGAAGGATATTCATATCCGGTACTTGTGGATAGAAACGGAAATGTTTCAGGTCGATAGAGAAAATCGATAGAGATCAATCCATTAGGTCTTCTCTTATATCCTTCTTTCTCCCTTATCGAAATTGATCCAGAAAATTACTAATACTAGATAATACTGTTACTAGACTGATATAACTTGAAGAGTAAATTTCTTGAAGATCAGGGTATCAGAGTACCCATCAGTGCTCCTCTCATATCATACCCCATACTACCCCAGACACCAAACATATCTCCTCTCATATCATCCCCCCATAGACCTATCGATCTAAAGATGGATTAGTATGTACACTTATCTTACATGTCCACTCTTCTCCATCCGCCATGGGTTGGAAAAATTTTATTCGAACTGAGATTTCTAGAGGATTGGGGGGTGGGAGTAAGGTCCTTTCAATATTCTTCACTCAGATCTTCGTCGGATACTTCCCGGTGAGAGAACTGGAACTGCTACTGCATCCAACGACTGATCATGTCACGCAACCACAGCACCATCGTGGGCGGCTGTTTCATTTCCGTGGGAATGGCATATCGCCGGGAATTGATGAAGATGGCCCGACCCTCGCAGTCCGTGTAGCGGACCTTCCGCCGGCACGGCGAGAAGGCGCTCTCCGCTTTCATGCCGCACGTACTCCTCCGTCGTTCCGCCGGCTTCTTGCACCTGGGCTTGGCCGGACAGCTCACCTTGGCGTGGGGGCAGCTGCGGTGCTTGGGCTTCGACTTGGGCTTGGGGCGCGCAAAGGGGCAGCTGGAGCGTGACCGGGACCGGTGACGATCCTTGGCATGGCAACAGGATCCGCTGTGATTCGTTATCAGGGATATGGCGAAGGCCAAGAGCAGCACTCCAAAGACGATGGCCACCGCCACCTGGACGTTGCGTTCGGCGTTCTTTAGGTCCACCAGCAGGGTGACGACATGGTAGCCCAGAGTGATCCAGAACGTGATGGTGCAGATGGCAAAGAAGCTGCAGGGATGCAGGGATATGTGAAGGATAGGGGACACAGTCTAGGATTTGGACTACTTACACCAATACGCCCAGTACCTCCAGCAGGAAGGTGATGAAAAAGTTGACCTGGTCGCCGCCCAGGCCCTCAAAGGAGCCGCGATATCCTCCACCGCCACCTGGCGGACCACCTGGTCCGCCCTTAAAATTACCGCCCGGCCGCCATGGTGCATTACCTCCCGGTGGCTGGCCGCCAGGACCTCCGCCTCTATAGCCACCCGGTACGCCGCCATGGACACCGGCTATACCGGTGCCCATACCGGTAACGAGGCCGTCATATGCACCACTGCTGATGGAGCCCTGACCGTGGGCGATGGCACACCCGGCATCGCAGCCAGTGCCATAGCCGCACTCCTCGTCGCAGGGCGTTCCTAAGGAACAGCGGGTATGCCCCAGGGTGGCGGTGCCCAGATGGAAGGCAAAGCCCAGGGTGTCGCGTCCTTGGTGAGACGCCGGCGCCGATACCGACTGATTGTTCCAGCCGCCATGGCAGGTCGGCGCCGCGCTCATTGTCCGACTGACAACAGGAATGTCCACGGAGGTATCCCTTCTGAAGATAGAGCCGTCTTCCCCGATAATCACAGCCCCGCTAGCCTCGCTGCCGAAACGGATATGGCCACCGGGATCTGCAGCATCTGGTATGACCTCGCCAGCACCGCCGGCAAAGCCAACACCTCCATGATGCGGCGGCTGGTTCGAGTCTCGTTCAGCCTGGGACTCTTCCGAGTTCCGGGTATCCTTGATCTCGCCACCAATGGTGATTCCCAAGGCGCCCGGTAAACGGGACATGCTCTTACCTTTGGCCACCGCACGGATCACAGATGCTGCTCGGGCGGCAGCTCCACCACCGACTTTGGACCTGGCCGGGGGACGCGACGATTTGTTGTCCATCGTTCTCTCTTGCTCTGTCGATTTTGCTCCTCCGGGACTATGTCCTGTGCCAGCTCCCAATCCAGCCCAGTCCGATCCGATGGCTTCGGGACCTGGATCCTGGTTACATTCGATCTGTTTTGAAAAAGATTTGGAAACTGATTGGAAAGCCAAAGTTCTAAACTCGAAACCCGAGCAATTGACTAACCAGGCCGAGGTTACGTCGATCTCGGAATCGATTCTCTAGATTTTTAAAGATTTTTATTAATTAAAAAAAAAAAAATAATACAAAAAATAAACAAATATAATCATTTATGTCTTCCAGAAACCAACGAGGACATGGACTTTGTTAGAAACACCACCTGGTATATAATGCCGGTTCTGAATCCCGATGGCTATGCCTTCAGCCACGAATACGATCGCTTCTGGAAGAAGTCCCGATCCCAGCATCAGGCACCGCCACCCACTGGCATCCTCGACTCGGCCATGACCTGGTTGCAGCAGAAGCAACGTGGCCCCGAGAAGGTCTGCTACGGTGTCGATCTTGACCGGAATTGGTTGTATCATTGGGGCAAGCGTGGCAGTTCCAAGGCTCCGTGCAATGAGTTCTATGCGGGACCAGCTCCATTTTCAGAGCCGGAAACCAAGGCTGTCTCCGATTTTCTAATGGATTATAGAACGCAAATTAAGGTGAGTTTAAGGATGTTTTTTTTTAGGCAACTTAGGGAGCTTAGGGATAAATAAATATAATAAATACCTATACCATAAATATAAATAAAAACCTATTAATATAATATATACTGCTCAACTCCCCACCAGCTCTATATATCCCTACAAGCCTACGGCCAAGTGGTATCCTATCCCGTGAAAGCCAATTCCACCTTCAATGCCGAGCGTTTGGATGATTTCCTGGACGTGGCCATGGTGGGAACGGATGGTCTGCGAAAAAAAGGACACAAATCTCGCTACAAAGTAGATGCCTCCAATGATTTGATAGAACAGCGTTCAGGTAATAAGTATTATTTATAAAACCTATACTAACTAAAAGTTTTGTATGTTCCCCCGTTGCAGGCTGTTCGGATGCCTTTGCCGCCTATGAGATCGGAATACCCTTCAGCTATACGATACAGTTGGCGGACAATGGAGTCCATGGATATTTGCTGCCCAGCAGCGCTATTGAGCCCACGGCCAGGGATGCCTTTGAGATCATTAGTGGAATGTTGGATTATATTTAGAAATTGTGGGACTTTCTGGGGAGGGGAGGGGGGTTTTCCAACGGAATCGGGTGATTTCCCTTTAAAGTTCCTTTTTTTTTTGTCTATTTGGCGGCTTGTGTTCCGGAGATCCTTTTTTTTCCCCATTTCCGGCATGCAGATCTCCATATAATTTAGTTTAATTTACTCCTCTTTTTTTTTTTTGAGTGTATTGTTTGAAAATTTCTTCTTTATTTACACTTTTGTCTTTAATTGAGATTTATTTTGTGTATTATAACTAAAAATATATATATATATATATTCGATATTTTTTTTTTTAATAGTAGTAGTTTATAAATCCTATTTAGAATAAATAGTATATCTTACAAAAATAAAGTCTTTTTAGTTCATCAAGCATTTCGATTTGTTTTCTTTTCTAATTTTTTGCATGGATGCCATGAAAGTTTCAGATTCTCTCTTTTTTTTAGCACTATTCTTTAAGGATTATATATTTTGAAAAATATATAATTTAAAGTGCTTCGTAATACACAATATATGAGCTTTTATATAGTTTATATCGGCTAGGATATAAACAAAAACATAATACAACTTAAGAGCTCTTTTTGCTGCTTAAAATAAATTATAATTAAGTTTATGCTTAAACTAACATTTGGTTTTACTTTAAAGGGATTTAAACTAAATTCCAAATATTTCTTAGGTTCTTAGGATATTGAAATCAAGAATTAAAGATTTCAACTTTTCTTGCTGATTTTTTTTGGATACCAAAAGTTGGAATTTTGCTGTATTTTTCCATAAGACACATAATTATTCAGCTTTGATTTTCTAATAATATAATAATATTTAATCCTGGGCTTAAGGATTTTACAAATATTTTTAAATACTGCTTGTATCCAGTCCTCTTGTTTTAGTTTCTATTTAAAACTACAAATAATTCCTGTAAACCTTTTCGAGTATTTTTTTTGCGAAACCTACCTAAGGCACTTTTATGGTTAATAGTGTCCTTTTTTTCAAATATCCTGCAAATGAAAAACAAAATCGAGTATAAACTCACTGGGAGGAGAACATTCTTTCCGCCAGTTTGGACAAACTTGTGTGGCATTCGTTGCCGCAAAAATACAGGCCGCAAAGCAGCTTAAACTGGGCCGGTGTCAACGGATACGACTCCTGGGACATCACCAGAATGGTGTTGACCGTTTTACATCTGGCCTGAAGCTGTTCCCGGTAATTGGCAAAAGCCGCCGAACATTTGGCAATGTGACGCACCAGTTTGTCCGTAGAGCATTGCTGCATCACCGGACGATGCAGGGCATTCAAAACAATCGAATTTAGATCGAATATAACCAAATCGACATCCCTGTCGGAAAAATCCAAAAAACCATGCGGCGTGCTCTCGATATCCGGCATGTGAGCGATCTGTAGCGTTGCGTACTTCTCCAGGTTGTGTAATTCGGCATTACCTTGTCGACTGTTGATCAACAAAATACGTTGCTTCTGCAGCAAACTACGTTCGCAAAGCTGCCAATAAATAAATAAATAAAAGAAAACAAAAGGTAAACAATTTTTGGAGGGAATTTTTTTCATAGGGGACTCACCTTGCTCAAGCTGCGGCCGTAGTCCGCATTAGCGGCCAGGTAAATGTAGTTGCTGGGTGTACCATTCAAGTGCGGGCTGATTTTGTGGTTCGGATTGACCATGTTGGTTCAAAGAAATTATTTAATTTTATTATTTTTCGGCTTTTAATTTCTTTTTCCAAACAATAACAATCGAGTGACCGTGGTGGATGTGACAAAAAAATACTGCATGGTGGCGATACAAATTGAGTCGATATTTTACAAGAGATACCGATAGTCACCACTATTTGCGATATTTTAGTATGAAAAAACTCTTTTGTCCATTTAAATAAACAAATAGGAAGTTTAATTCTTAGAATAAAACACATTTCCCGTCTTTATCCTTTTTTTTTAAAGTTTGCCATTGTATCGGTTTAAAAAAACTATCGAAAAATAATATATGGTTAGCTTGAAACGTTTTCCATCCCTAATAAACCTTTAAAAAAATAAAAAAAAAATCAATTTTATATATTAAGCCTCCGTTTTATAAGAAGAAATCCACTTTAAAAGCAATATTTAAGGAAAAATACCAAATCCGATGATTTAGTATATATCGATAGCTTAAGGATTTGAAGTGGCGCCACCTGTTATTCACCATTTCAAATCTAGCACTCACCATATCGCTTAAACGTCAAACTCAACTCAGCCGACGAACAGACCGCACAAAGCGTAATGTAAAAGAATTGAAAAAAATCATCAAGTATAGAGGCGAAAAGGCAGAAGTCGCGGCCCAAATTGTTAAATTGCGTTAACGCTGAACAATTAAATGCGGCGTTTACAGCACAGTAAATGCAAGCGGCTAATAAATTGCGGTAAGCTAAATAGAAACCAAAAAAGCAGCGCAGGCACACACAAAAAAAAAAATACGAACAAGCGACACTCACACTCTGGGTAGCCCACCACACCAACACGCACACACTCACCCGTACGCTCGCACGCATACGCAGCGCAGAGTGAAAAAGTGCAGGCGCCGCAGCGTTCGTTTTTAACAAGAATTTCATTCATTTGCCCGGAAATCATGAAATTAACGTTTAAAGTTTACCCTGGATATTGTGTGTACTTTTAGGAGGCGAACACCAGAGCCGATAAAGCGGCCAAAAACGGCGACCGCAATTTAGGCACACACACACACACACATACACGCGACACACACACACACACACACATTTAAATACCAACCGCGAGAGAGAGCCCCCCAACACGCTCCACACGCCACACCACACCGCATCGCCAAACACACACACATGCATACAATCAAACCAAACCAAACACACACACATACAAGCGCGCGTGCCTTGGCAGGTGAGAAGTAGAAGAAGAAGAGGAATAAGCAAAAGCAGTAGCAGTCGGAGGCGGCTAGAAGCGGAGCGGAAACGAAGGCGCCAAAGCCCCAAAAACTCAGCAAAAAAATTCAACAACAAAAAAAATTTAATCCAGAGGAACTCCAGAAGCATTTCCGGCAGCAGCAGCAGGATAATCGAAGCAACGTGGAGACAACCAACAAAGCGGGCCAATTCGAGTGCGATTAAGGCAGCTGAGGAGGGAGGAGCTGCAGTAGTAGTAGCAGCAGCCCCAACAACAAAACACCAACAAAGCCAATAATAAAAACCAACAACAACAACAACTAAAACAACACCAAGGAAGCAGCGTATTTGGCGAAAATCTTGCATTGATGGTAATGCATGCTAGAAAACCGCAGCGTATGAACGATGGGTATGGATATTTGGTTAAAAAAAAAGAAAAACTATTAAAATCTATTAACAAACAACAACAAAAAAAAGAAAAACACTGCCAGGCTGCACGCCCAGAATTCCAATATATTTTTTTTTTTGTTTACGTTCTGCATTCCTCTCCCTCTCCCCGTCTCTTTCTAACTCGTATGTTTCTCTTTAAAAAAAACCGATTTCTTAATTTTGTAAATTTTCATAATTGCTTATATCAAGATATTTGTGACATTTTTTAATGATAATGTGTGATATGTATATTTTTTCAAGTGTTATCATTCCTTCATTCTATGGTTATTCGTGTCTTTGGCTTTGCCATCCCACTCTAATGCTAACTCGCTCGCACACGCTCAGCTGTCGGAGCAGAAAAAAAGAATTTCCAAGAAAATTTATTTTGCACATTTACCGTTGCTTTTTGTTTTAAAGTTTAAAATTTAAGTCAAGTGATTTTTATTGTTAATTATTAGTCCTATATTTGTGTTATTTTTTTAAAGGAAACCCTCTGCCGGCTTGGGATTTCTTTTTCGGTTTTTTTTTTTGTCAACAAATCGATGCCGGCATTGTGGAGAGAAAATTCAACCAGAAACTAAATCGATTGAGGTTTTTCACGGATTTTTCATGTGATTTAGTCTTAAAAGATGCTATAAAAGTTAAAAATTAAATTAAAAATAAGCAAAATCCGTAGTGCTAAGCCTGGAGTGTTTAATTATTTGTTTATAAATTAATTTTAATTGAATTATTTTTCATTATTTCAGGTACTTTGAGAAGCATACCAGTCACACATCCTACCAGGTGAGAAAAGAAACAATCTCCGGACCAATATCCCCCCCAGCAACACTAACTAATCGCTAATTGTTGTAATGCCAGTTTTATTTTTTGTGTCTATTAGTAGTTTTTTTATTTTTCTTACAATTTCTAATCACAATTTTGTAGTGCACTTTAAAAGCCAATGTAAATCATTTAATTTTCAACCATTCATCAACTAATTTTTATTAAAAATTAAAAAAAAAGATTAACTTATGTAGATAGTATTTATTAAGTTGATTTTCTTTTGGTTTTCGATTAATATTAAATAGGTGTTTAATTTTTTTTGAATCGCTGTGTTGTGCATCCTTAATTGTCACTTTTTTCCCAAAAAAAATAAAAAAAAAAAAAACCAAAAACCTTCATCCATTTTTTGAACTGACCAGAAAAAAAAAATCGTTTCATTTGTTAACCCATTGATAACGCGGCATTGCAGCCTGAACTGATCTTTAATTGAGAAACGAATCTATACATATATATATTATAAAATAAGAAAGAAAAAAAAAGAACTGGCAAAATCTAGCAATTCTACACCAAATACAAAAAAATTCGGAAATTAATTAAAAATCCTAAAACATATATACGGTTAGAAAAACAACAATATATGCAAATAAATAAATAAATACAAAATTATTAACCAAACAGCACAAATATGCTTTAAAGCAAACCAAACAATGTTTAACCATTTTAAATAGAATTATAAATTATTAAATTAAAGTACTTAACCAATTTCTAAGCGCTGCCTAATTAAATTTAATCAAACTAGTAGCCTTAATAAACAAAAACTTCGTAGAAAACAATTACAAATTAAATATACAACAACAACAACAATGAACCAGCAACAATTCCAACAAAAATATATAACAACACAAATGTGCCTCAAATTTAAATAAAAGAATATTAAAAAAAAAATTAAGCCAAAAGTTAGTTAATTATTAAAAATTGAATAAAAATCAAATCATTAATTTATTAATGAAAACATCTATGAGGAGCAACAGCAACAACAACACCCACTCCAGCAGCAACAAAACCAGCAACAACATGGCTGTTGACTTGTCACTTGCAACATCAACGATATCCAATTGCAATAGCAACATAAGCAACAACAACAATAATAATAATAATAATAATAATACCAATAATAATAATAATAATAATAGTGGAAGTAAAAGTTCTGCAGCAGCAACGCTGGCAGCTGCCTCGACCTCATCAGCTGTGGGCCTCTGTCGTCTCGAAGTAAGTAAACAATAAAACAGAAAACCATAAGGAAATCGCAAAAAAAAAAACAAAAAGACAACCATCAAAGCAATAAAAACAAAAATACAAAAACAATAAACATAAACCTGAAACCCCTGGAAAGTGTGTCTTAAAAACAGAAACCAGAAACAACTAAAACAAAACATGAAAAAATAATCAAGAAAAAAAAAAAAAACTGTATCAACATTAAAATCAATAAACAATTAAACCAAACAACTTAATAAACAAGGAAATATATTTAAAGTTTTACGTTCAACATTAATTTACCACAAAGCCATCTAAAAATGATATATAATTTAATAAAACAATTACCAATCAAACAAAATATACTTGACATGTTTCAAAATTATAACACACACACTTTAGTTTCGAACCAAAAGGAAAACAATTCAATTGATACTCTTTTTTCATCAAAATTTCATTTCATTTAAAACTCATTTTCTCAAAATATATTTATCTATATATTTATATATTTTTTATTTTGTGTTTTTCAATAAGCATTGGCAATAATCACAAGCAAATAACATTGGCAAAAGTAGCTGGCATTTATGATTATGCATTTATGTTTATTATTTCCCAGAGTAGATTTAGTTCAACTAACCACAGTTCCTATTCCTTAAAAAAAAAAAACCAAAAATTACGAAATAACCGAAAATATTAACCAAAAAGAAACTAAAATATTAAAAGAAATCTAATTTTAAAAGAACACTGTGCTATAAGGGATATTAATAGCTTTGAGATGGAAGCAGATTTAGTCAAAATGTATCTCGAATTTATTGTTAACTATTGAGATTTGCAATCTATTATGCTTTTATGTAATTTATTTCTTTAAATGGTTTTTACCTCATTTTTTTAAAATTTTACTATCGAAATAATCGAGAGCTATCGAGATAATAATTTAATTCTCTTTTGGCAACTCAATTTCTTACTTTTCTGTATAGTACAAATTTTTTTACCATATACCTTTGGAATATTGGTAATTTACACTTGTTTTTTAAAATTGTTGTTATCGAAAATATCGTTCACTGTCGAAATAAGCGATATAATATTATTCGGTCATAACTGGGCAATTTAGGTTCTTATTTCTCTTTATAATTTATGGTTTGTGCTCTAGTTCTTGGGTATATCTATAATTTATAATTGCCTTTTAAGATGTGACTATCGAATTTATCGTTAACTATCGAGATAAGCGATATTTTTCTTTTTTGGACAAAAATGAGCAAATAAATGTCTTATTTCTCTACGAAATGTACCTTTTTTTTTTGAGAATATTGAAAATTTACTTCATTTATTATTTCTAAAATTTTATTATCGATATTATCGTTTATTTTGAAGATCGATAAGATCAAGAAATCGATAAATTCATTCCCAAGACCGAAATTGCTATTAAATTTTAAGCTTTTCATTAAACTTCCCCTTTTAAATTAGAATTTCGTGTGTTTATAAACAAACCACATATCGAAATTATCGATAAATATCGATTAAAATAATTTTTGATGAGTTCTACGTTATAATTTTTAAACTTTTCTCTTAAAACCTAAGAAAAAGACATCAAAATTAAGGAAAATTTTAATGAAAATATGTTTCACCTTATAGCACAGTGTGTGTATATGTGTGTGTGTGCGCTGAGCGTGTGTGCCTGTGTGTGATTAATTGAGGAATGTAAGAGTCTAAAAATGTGTGTGATTTCTTTACCCCCTTTGCCATCCAAAATCTTTACACCTCACCCTACACTACACCCTCCGTCCAATCCGTGCAGAGCTCAAAGTACAGCAGTTCAAAGCGCGACTACGAACGCGACCGTTCCTCCAATTACCGCGATCGCGACCTGTCACCTGGTGGCGGCGGAGGCGGTGGTGGCGGCGGTGGCAGCGGCGGCGGCGGTGGAGGCGGTGGCAGCAGCAGCGGCAATGGCGGCGGCGGCGGACCACTAAACAATGGCAACAGCTATCGCTCTCAGTCGCCGGACATTGATTCGCCATCGTCGCGATCGCACGATCTCAGGGATCGTAGCGATCATAGGGGCGGAGGCGGCAGTGGGCGTGGCGGCAGCGGAGAACGTTACAGTTTCATACAAAAGATGCGCGACCGGGATCGCGATGCCTACAAGAAGGATAAATATTCAGGTAAACTATACATTATATTTCATTTTAAAGAGATCTCTTAACATGGTGGTCTTCTTCGATTTCCAGACAAACGGGATCGGCGTGGGAATGACCGGGATTCCGAGTCGTCGTATCGGACCAACCACGACAGGGATCGGCGCGGCGGTGGAGGCGGTGGTGGCAGTGGGGCCGGTGGCAAGCTATGCTCCTCTAGGGAGAATGACAAGCGTTCCGGTTCCGATGATCGCGATAGGGACAGGGATCGGGATATGCGTGATCTGCGCGACAAGCGAGATCGTGGCTCCGATCGCGATCGGGATTTGTACAAGAAGGACAAATACGCAGGTGAGGATTGGGGAGAGAATTACAGGCATTTTGGCTTGTTAGAACAAGTCTCAAGGAATGTGAGCATGTTAGAACATCCCTTAAGGTATTTTAAAGCATGTCTTAAGGACTTTTAGTATGTTTGAACATGTCTAGAGGCTTAAGGACATGTTATGACCTGTCTCAATTCATGTTAATACATGTCTAGAGTCTTGTTACCATGTTAGAACATAACTCTAGGCGGGCTAGGAAGTAAGATCATTTTCTGAGGCGTGTTAAAACATGTCTAGAATCATGCTAAAACTTGTCTAACTAAAATTATCGATATTTTTTTATAGATAAACGCGAAAGGAGTGATCGCGGCGAGCGAACAGCGCGCTATGGCGATTGGAGTGAGCATGTGAGCTCGTCGGGTAAGTTTTTAAAACATTTAAAATTAAAAACTAAGCTAATAATTAATTAACAATTTAAGGGAAAATGTATTACTACAACTGCAAGACGGAGATCTCCCAGTGGGAGAAGCCAAAGGAATGGGTGGATAGGGAAAGGTAAGTAACCTAAAATTTTAAAAATTATTTATAAAATATTAAATATATTAATATGTATTTTTTTAAGGAATTTACCGCGTGATCAGCACCGTGAGAAGGACTATCGTGACAAGGATCGCGATCGGGACCGCGATGATCGCTTCTCCAGATCGAGTGAGTTGGAAGAGCAACGTCTGCAGGACTCTTCCTTTTAAAAAGGATCTAATTAGATAAATTTGTTTCAGCATACAAACATTCCAATTCTTCGCGGGACAATTCACGACTGAGATGGAATTACAACGACGATGGCCCGCCCAGCCATCGAAGGCGTTTGGATGGTGAGTACTTCGGTCCCCTTAGGTCCTTATCCTTGGTGGCTAATTTCTAAATATAAATTCCTTCAGGTCGACACAATGACAATGCTGACATGGACATAAGCGGCGATTCGACGCCCACCTCAGAGGCCAGCTACTCCCTGAGCGGCACGCCCACGGCACACAGCAGCGGTGGCGGCGGCGGCGGCGGTGGTGGAGGAGGAGGAGGAGGAGGAGGTGGTGGTGGTGGTGGTGGCGGTGACCAGCCTATGGGCAATGCCCTGCCCCGCCTGGCCTCCCATCCCAATGCCAGCAGCAGCAATTCCTCCGTGTCTGGAGGACCGCTTGGCGCCGCAGCCGTGGTCGCGGCATCGGCAGCTGTGGCGGCAGCGGCACTCCATTACGGTGGCGGTGGGGCGGGCCTGGTAACGGGAGCCACTATGCTGCCCACCAGTGGGCTGTCCTCGGTGGGGGCGAACAGCAGCGGCAGCAACAGTGCCGGCGGCAGTAGCAACAGCAGCAACAGTGGCAGCAGCCTAAGGAATTCGGTCGTTGGCCACATTGGCTCCACCTCTGGAGTAAGACCCTGGTACTAGTTTACCCCATATCCTGGCTAATCCTTGTAAACCTCCTAACAGACAACTGTGCCGACGTTGGCGAGTCAGGATCCGCACCAGCATCCGCATCATCTGAACTCGAATGCTCCCCTGCCGCCAGGAGCCAAAGGCAAGGATCAGGCGCTACTAATGCGCCAAAAGATGCACCTGGGCTTGGGCGTATTGGATGGTGGCGGTTCGGCGTCGGATTCGGGCGTCAATCATGCCTACAATTCGGTCAACAACTCGGTGTCTGGCGGCAGTCTGAGCAGCTTACGGTGAGTGATTGGATTCTGTTATACGAATGATATCCTGTTAAAGGCGTCATTGTTTTAGGGATAATAATGTCAATTCCCCGCTGTATATGCCCCATCCGCATCATAGCCTCTCCCCGTCGCTCACCAGCTACACGAAGAGCCCCATACCGACGATTGTCGGTCACACGAACAACGTGAGCAACGCCTACTCCTGCAGCACACCCTTCGGACTGAAGTCGAGCCTCGACGGCGGCCTACTGGTGGCCTCCGCTTCCCCGGCCACGCCCACTGCCTCCTCCGTCGTCAGCGGCGGCGTCAACAGCGTTGGCCAAAATATAGTGCCCGGTCTGGGTCCCGTTAGCGGTATCAGTGTGATCACGTCGATGGGCAGTAACAGTGGCTCCAATAGCGGAGCGCCGGGCATTGGCGAGGGACCACCGACGCCCACCCAGGAACTGGATCTGAGCGGTTCCGTTCTGGATCAGCAGGCGCAGCAAGCGGCCGCCGCAGCAGCAGCGGCAGCAGCAGCAGCCGGTCTAAGCCAACAACAGGCGGCACAACAGAGAGGCAAACGTAAGTCTTGAATATAGTTTCTAGCAAGGATTTGATTAACATTCTTCTAATTATTTAGTGGATGGGGCATCATCGGCCACTCTGAGCACGCTGCAGAGCTGTGTGGGATCGTCGGTGCAGGCGGCCAACCTGCGAGGTCCGGAGATATCGCCCAAACTGGCCAAATACTTTCGCGCTGATCTGATCGCGCACGTTACGAACTGGCAGGCGGAAGTGCTGGAGCGTCAGGTAAGCTGTGAGGTATGATTCGCCGAACTCGGGCGAACTCCCACAAGAATCCCAAATCAAAAAACCAATGACGAATCTCAAGCGTAAATAGAATCTCAGCTAATTGTGGCAAATGCTTTTTTTTTCATATTATATATCCCTTCTTGCATTTTCGAAGGCGCAGAAATGCTGCGAGGATACACATCTGTTTGGGGACATTACCTGCACGAGGATATGTGCGGAGCTGAAGTGTGCACGAAGCTTAGTGAGGAGCACCGAGATCAATGCCACCCTGCAGGAACAGAAGTGAGTAGTTGATATGCTGAAAGAACTATGTATATTATTTATTTTATTTAAAAATATGAACTCTTCTTGTATTAGAATCATGTATTTGCGGCAACAGATCCGCCGGATTGAGGAGTCGAAGACTCAGAACGCGTTCATGTCGGACGATACTTAGGATCAGGAGCAGGTTAGGCTCCGCGTGCATCGCAAGCTGTCGGTCAGGCTCAAAAAGAGCATATTCTGGCGCAGCTGATGATGATGGCGATGATGTAGCATTGCTGGCGGCAGCCTAGCCTAGTGAATGCGATTAGTTGGCATCCACCTCTACATCTTCTCTCCCCCCAAATAATCCAATAATGGGCGATGCATCTCCACACCATACCATACTTCACCACACCCTACCACATCAGCACTCATATATATACACCCTCACTGAGCCAGACACCAAGTCGCCTAGGATTGAACTGTGTTCGTCCTGGCAATCCTATTTGGAATATGGTGGCAGCATATTTCAAGGATTGCTGCCCAAAGGACTATAGATGGTTCAGGTTAAGGACTTAATTCAACCGGAAGATGAAAAAGTTTCAGAGAGCGAGAGAGAGCAGAAAGAATAGATGAAGAAAGAAAAAACTAAAGCATAATTTATAATTAGCAAAGCGTAAAATTAAAAACAAAAACAAAAAACAAATATGTAAGCAAAAGCAGAGAAAAACCGAAAAACAGAAAAAAACAGCAACGAGAAAACCAAACTCCAGGATACAAGATACAACTACCGATGAACCTATCAAGAAGCAATAAGGATAAAAGCCTATTTAGCATCAGTACTAACAAGAAACAAACAAACATACAACAACAAAACAACAAAAACGGTAAATAAAAACACCAAACAAAACAAACAACAAACACAATTAACAAACTAAACAAGTCAACATAGTATACTCAATTGCAATAAAAAAAAAAAAAATGAAATAAGAATTCGAATTAAAGAATATATATACAAACGATATATATAATTATATATATATATATACTTATATATAAATAAATATATATATATAAATAGAGTATATGAAAGTTTGTATATTTACAACAACCACAAACAACAACAACAACAAGATGTAAATCATAATGATAAAATGATTATCGATGACAACCAAAATGCAAGTCAGAAAAAAAAACTAATAATCCAACCGAATCGAAGAAATCCTCTACACACACACACACCCACACCCAAGAGAAGCTTCTACATAGAAACCGTTAACAAATCGTTATATATATCTTATATATATATCTAAATATATACTATATATATATATTATTATATATATAACTATATATATGACCATGTTTTGTTATCTGTTTTTTCAAAAAAAAAAAAAAGAAAATCAGTTTGGTTTTTCTCTAAAAAAAATTGCGTTTTCGAAATTTTGAGTTTACACTGCAAGAAACACCCAATACCCACCATCCTCACAAGAAACAAAACAAAAAAATAAGAAAAAAAAATATTATTGCTCCTTAGTTTGAAACAAAAGTATGTATTTATATTATATATATATACACGATTACGATATACATATATAGGCTTGTCTAGCTTCCGATTTATTGAATTTTCAGTTTTGTTTTTTTTTTAGTTTAGTTTTTTTTTTATAAACCCTCCCCCCTCTATCTACCCCCCCACTACACTTACGTTTTACATTTATTAATTATATATATGAGTATATATATAAAATATATATTATATATATGCATATATACGATATAATTTATTTTTTTGGAAGAAGTTAAACATAAAAAGGAAACAATTTTTTGTTGTTAATAAGCAAAAAAAAAAGGTTTTTAAAGATAAACTTAATTTTATTGAATTTAAAAAACAACAACTATTGCGTTCGAAAGAAAAAAAGATGTTAGGGATCCCAGAGAGAGATAATCGGATAAAGATGAACTAACACAGACACACACACACTCCCCCACATATACAGACACACTCATACATACGAACACACACACACACACGCGAGAGTAAATAAGTGTAATTTTGAGTTTTTTTTTAATCTTAACTTGTCTAAATAAAAAAAAAACGGAAAAAAGAAAAACAACAAAGGGGACTCTGCCATTAAAAGCAGGTCCGAAACAAAAAGAAAGCAAACAACAGTTTAATAATGATAATGCTAATAACTACTGTAGATATACATATAAATAATATATATATATATAATAAATATATTAGCTAAGCGTCAAAAACAAACAACAAACAAACAAACAACAAAAAAAAACAAGAAAAACCAACCGAAAAATAGAAACTTTTATTATGAATTAATTAAAAAATACAACAACAACAACAAATAAAAGTTTAAAATGTGTTTTAAAAAATCAGACCAAGGGAAGGGAACTTTAAATATTATATTTCAATTCAAAATTTTAAACTTTCTTTTCCTTCTTTCTTAATTGGCTATTTTTTCGTTTGATTTTATTTATTTTTATACTAATATATATAAATAAAAATTTACATTTTCAATTATATATACATTTTTGGAAAGTAATTTTTGTTTGTATTTCTTTTTTTTTTTTAAATAACCGCATTAACATTCATAACTAACCTCTAATATATTTTAAAAATAAAAAGCTTTTATGGCTTACACTTTTAAAATATATTAATATTTTGTTGGTTAAAAGATTTGAAATTTTTTCAAAAAACTTTGTTTTTTAAAATTTTCAAATCAAAACCGCTAACAAAATTGTCCAAAAAGCTTTTCATTATTTTCTTCATTGTCTGTTTTCAGCCGGCTTTTCTTTTTGCAGCGAGAGAGTATAAAAGCTTTTGCGAAAAAGCCGGAAAGTGAGCAAGAGAGAGAGCCGCGTGGAAAGCTCTCCAAAGTTGACCGTTACCCAGCAAACGCAGCGAATTCGCCAAAAATGAATATGGCAAAATGAACACCCGCCGAATGTTGCCTGAATTTTCCGAAGGGAAAAGCCGTGGTATCGTTGTGTACGTGAGTGTACGCCTATCTGTGTGTTGTTTTCCTTTTCCAGTGAGTGTGTGTGTGTGTTTCCACTTTTTTTCTGTTCGCATTTATTTTTCTTGTGTGTACGGCTCTGCCCTAGCATCTCCGCTTTGGCTTTTCCGAGGACCGAGGACGAAATGGAAATGCCAACAAGTAGCAGTTCAGCATTCGAAGCGTTCGCTTGTTTTGCGGAACAGCGAAAGGCAGACAGGCAGCCAACACACACTAACGGTTCAGATTTCGAAAAAGCCGAAATAACGGTCACGGGAATTTATTTCAAAAAATATGTGTTCATTTTAATAATTTTTTTTTTTCGGTTGAATTTTAGCAATTGTGACTTTTTAAAAAGTGATTTATTTTATTAAAACTGCAAAACAGAACTAGACTACATTCTTGGATAAAAGTGAAGACAAAATTTAAGAAGAGCAGTGGTGAGATTAAAAAATAACTGGTGAGTGAATTGTGCATTTTTTAAATTTAGATTAGAAATTAAGGTCTTAATATTTAAGACCAAATACATTTGGTAAGTGAATGGTAAGTATAGAGGATATAATTAATAAATAAAGCAGACAAAAATAACAAAGATGTTTAAAGGTTTGAAATAAAAATAAAAGAGTTAAAAATAAAAGTAATAATTTAATAATAATAAAATAAATAATAAAAAATAAATGAAATAAAAAAACAAGTAACTATATAATAAAAAGTTCAAAATAAGAGAAATTCAAGCACCCTATTAATTACAATAAATACAAAAATCAAATTTAAAATAAAATAAATAAAAATAATAATAATTATAAATAAAAATATACTTAAAACTAACTAAAATAAATAAAAAAATATTTGAAACATTTTTATAAAATATTAGGGCCAACAGTGCGTATGGATAATAATATTACTCATACGCCTAGTTGCCTTTCGACGACAAAACAGCTTACAGCTGTTAACATTAAAAAAAGTTGAATTTGTTTTAAATGTATTCTATTATATTGTTATTTATTATACTTTATTATTACAAATATATTTTTATTTACCTACAAATATTTATTTATTTTTCCACAAAAATACTGTAATCCCTTTAAAATCTTACAAAAAAAGCATCAAAATACGTCTTTACCCCAAAAAACAAAATTCTAGTTTTTGTTTTAAAACCAGTTGTACCATTTTCGCATTTACATCAATTCCCTTTACGCTTCCATTTGCAAAACATTCAAACAAGGAGACAAAAAACAAAATACAACAACAACAAAAACGGTAAAAAGTTGAGAAAAAATAGAAGTAAAAAAAAAGTAAAAGAAAATTCGCTGCCTGCATAGTTTATTTGGAATGCACTTTGAGGCTGTCACATAAACGAACAAGCTGGGAAAATACTAAAATATATATATTCATGGGTGTATGTGGCTTAATCCACAGGGGGAAAAAGGGGTTTCTATTTAATTCAAAAACTTTGCTAAGCCAGGAATAATATTTTTTCAGAAATTTTAAGATGAAGGGGCTTACAAAAATATATGAAATTAGAGCATATTAGCATAGGAAAATTTTTGAAATAAAGTAATAAAAAAATATTTAAGTTGCTAAAAATAATTATTTATGGATTCTGGTGGTGTTATGGAATATATTCTTCTCCAAAGTTTGTTTTTTAACTGTTGACGTGTAAGTGAAGATTTTAAAAATATGTTAGAATAAAAAACAAGAAATCAATAAGAGTTTCCTGACTATAAATTAAAAGCTTTTAAAAGATAATGTATAAACAATATACATATATAATATATAATTATTAAACTGTATAAATCCACATTAATAGAAAAATTTTTTTTTTATTTTTTTCTCAGTGTGTAACCCCTTGAAACACTTCTGTCTCTGTCACTCATCATCTGTCATTGATTTGTTTTCCATTCGATTTGCCTTCGTTATGGCCCCTCCGCTTCCTTCTGGCACGGATGTTTATCTTGTTCTGGCTTTAAACTAATTACAGAAGGGGTCCTCGGGTCCGAGAATATCCTTCGAAATGATTTGCGGCTTGGCCGGTTTTATTTTGTTTGATTTTATGCACTTCTGGCCGTCAAAAACTGGATTTATATCTATCAGTAAAAATTGTGCTTGCCCGCCAAAACCCAAAAAAAAGAAAGTGAATGCTTTTAGAGGCGTAGAGGGTACTGGGGGGAGGAGAATTTATATAAAGTACAAGGGCTTTATTGACAATGGGTGCATTCTACGCGCTTTGGCAATGGAATGCCAAGAGTCGAGAGTCAAGAGCCATAAATTTGACGCCGCCAAGTCCTTTTGGCATCCACAGCAAACAAAATGCGTCGATAGTCGCCAAAAAGGGTAAAGTGCCAGGGCAGTGAGTGGTGGGGGCGGTGACAGAAGGGGTTGAGTATCCGGAAAATTGTAGAGGGACCGGAAAATATTAAAGGCGAGGAGGACCCTGCTCTTGGAGGCGGAGTGGAGCAGCCATTGCAGGGGCGAACAATCCAAGTTGATGCGGTCATTTGAGTGCCAGCAAGAGAAATGTGCAGCAAACAAAAATAATAATATTATTTTCATTATTAATCTTCAGCTATTATTTTACATCTCCCCTTGAAAGTCTTCTCTTTTTTCAACTTTTTCTTTAATATTTGCTGAGATTTTTAAAGAGGCTTGAAGTTTTAAAGAAAGTTGAGCTTTAGTTTCAGTTTAAAGGTTTTTAAAGGTAAAGATATAGACATTGCAGTGGGCCATATAGGGTAGGACCACACATCCCCCATTTTTCGCTAGGGGTCCACTCCGAAAATTTGACAAAAAATCTCAAAA